GCCTGTGTAGCTCTCCCAGTTCTGTACATAGTCATGATTGTAGCAGTCAGGAAAGAGGTAGAAGCCCCAGAGGTGCTGAGGTCTGACTGACTTGACGTAGTGTAGTGTCTTCAGCATGAACTGCCGTGCAGCGAACTCGAATTCGTATTGTGCCTGTTTGACTATGCGGTCTTTCGGCCAGTCAGGGTGGCGACTGGCGACCAGCTGACGAGACCACTGGCGATACACATCTTTGTCCTGCCAGTTGCGCACCCACACTGGCCGCCAGTGCTCCCAGTCGATGACAGCTAGCCCTGCGGGCTCCCGAGTGCGAATGTAGTGCTCCACGGGTTTCTTCAGCATTCCCAAGTGTTCTTGGAGGCTGCCATTCTGTGGCACACCACCATGTACAGATGTCCCGGCTGCACTGAAGTGTGGGTACAGGCCTAGCCGGTCATAATAAAAAATTGTGATACTCTGGTTCACAAAACCCTCATTGGGTGAGGCCTCCACATCGAAAGCCTTCAGGTCCAGTGGCACCTTGTGGCGTGGACCACAGTCCTGTGTGGGTACATCCCAGGCTACCACAAAGGGCCGGCCTGTGAAGATGGGTGGCACTGTGGGCTTCAGCTCCATGGCCCATGCCACTGCCAGCACCAGGGCCAGTGTGACGGTAGGGGCTAGGCCTGCACGCATGCTGGGAACTGCAGGAAATGTAGCACCAGGTCAGGAACTAAAGGAGGGGTGGGAGAAAACAAATCAGTCTAGACAATCTTGGAGGTGCTCACCTTAAGCCCTGCTATACTCTAAAAGCCCATGTATGTGGGACACTGTACCCATGCCTGTTCAGACCACACATGGCTACAGACAGGCCACTGAAAAGTGGGCAAAACACCCTGGGGACTCACTACCAGGAGCATAGGGCTCCTTCCTGGAACAGGCAGCCTATGGCTGGGCAAGAATTTGTTAGGTCTGTGACCCTTCTGAGAACTGGATGAATTAGGCTACTGACTTGCTGCCAGAGCCATACATTCAGTACATGGTTTCTGAGAGCTCTGTAGCCCCGAGCCCCACTCTGTACCCTGGATCCAAAGTAGCAATAGCATTTTGGTAAAGCAGGCACAGGTCATACAAAAGCTTAGGAAGCTGGAAGGAAGGAACGTGGCCGTGGAGCTGGTAATCTGTGCAACGCCGGCCTGGCATATTAGAGAAGCTTCCCGGGCTTAGTCTCGGGCGCAAACACTCTCCAAGACTTGGAGGAGGCCCAGCGATGACAAAGGGGCAGCCGACCTCCCACACTGGAGCCAGCGACCTGCCTGCCTTTTCCTCCACAGCCATCGGAATGCGCTCGCCCGCCCAGCGCCGGGGAGTCCCGGGTGGAGAGCACTTGCCTGGCCTTTGTGCGGGACCCCGCCCCCGCCCCGCACGTGGGGCCAGAGCCCTGCTGGTGGGGGTTGGGGCCCCAAGCTGCATCTCTGGGGGCGACCCTGGGGATTCTGAGCCCAGCCCACGGGGAGAGAGCTGCCAAGTTTGCATCTCCTGCCCTCACCTCGCGCGAGGCGCCGCCATCCTGGGCACAGCTGAGCTCGCTCCAGCCTTTCGCCCAGGCAGGACCCCGGCTCGGCGCCTCTGCTGGCTCCGCCCCCAGACCTCCGGCCCTTTAAGAATCCAGCCGGGAGGTGGGCGGGGGCAGGACCGGCGCCTCGACCGGGAAGATGTCCCCGCTTTTCTCGTCTACAGTGCTGCCTTTCAGGCTCGAGGGCCCCCAGGTCCTCTGCTAAGGAAAGTTACCACCTAGCTGAAGCCCGGGGTCACTTCGGATGGTAGTTTTTGCTGGAGTCTCAGCCTCCGAGAGCCAGTCGGCTTGAGACTTACCCCCCACAGCCCACTGCTGGTGGTATAGTCCTCCCGGCCCCGTGGTGCAGCCAGCCCCTTAAAGAGACAGGATAAGGAACGGAGAGCAGGGACCCAAGGAGTGGCGTTTCCGGGCTCGGCCATAAGGAGGCGCTGTGGTACACCAAAGCCTTGGCTGGGAATTGCTGCGGATCTAGGTATGCATCGCTGTAGACTCAAGTCTTGGGGGCCGTTTGTGTGGATTACGGGACTTAGACCTAAGGGGATCCGGGGCCTCCTGGAACAGCAGTGCCCCGCCCCCTAAGAATCCTGGATCCCCTTCTCGCGTCTGCGGTCTTTAAGAGCCACCCCAGCCAGTCTATAAGAACGGGCCAAGGGCCGCAGGGCTTAGCTGTCCTAGCAACTCCGACTGTGAGTCGCAGCCTGGCTGAAAGACTGGGGACAGGGAAATTCAGTCGGGTGCCCCCTTCCCCCTCGCACAGGGCCGGGCCAATCCCTGGAATCCTCTCCTGCTCGGCTTCTGGAACTCCTGGGGGGTCCCTCTCAACTCCAGAGAAGGTGCCACTCTAGCAGAAGTTTCTGGCCGCACCTCGGAGAAAGTCCACTGAAGGATCCGGTGTGTGTGGGGGGGGCTTGCCTCCCATGTCCTGAGCCCTTTCGGCTCTCAAGTTCCTCTGGTAGAAAACAGGCGTGGAATTTCACCGTGACAAGCCCTGTGAGAGACCTTGTTCCTTAGATCTGCTTGCTCCTTTGGGACTCAGCTCCCCCAAGGGCCTCTTCTGCCCGCCTGCCCATTCCCCGCCCCGGCGCGGGAGAGGAGATAGAGTGCTGTGGGGAGCGCGTCTGCGGCCCTCATAGCAGCCTGCTACGCCCTGCGCTTTGCTCACCTGCATGGGAGTCCGTCGGCCCAGTAGGTTGGCGGCCTCCCGCCTTCCTGGGGTGAACCTCTCCAGCCTGGCTACTCGCGCCAGTTGCTGCCCGCTGGGCATTCCGCCGGGGACTTGATAAATCCCATTCCCTCCCACTGGCTCCTGCCTCCCTTCCCAGCCCTTTCTCCTCACTTCCTGCTGCCCCTCTGAGAGGAAAGGGCCTGGAACTGGTGGGGGAGGAGAGATCGCCTTGACCTGTTTCCCTCCGGTATGCCCTGTTGGCTAGCTGTTTTCCCCATCTTTCGCCTGTGTAAGAACTGTCCCCACCAGCGGTGCCAGGTGACAAGAAGGCTATGGGCCTGGGCCCAGGTATCAGCTTCCCCCATGCCCACAATTCCCTTAACACTGGGGAACCTCTTTACCCAGCCTTCCCTTGGGATTGGGGCCCATTCTCAAGTCCAGTAGGATGACAGGGTGGTCCAGGTGGTAATCTTTTTTTTTTTTTTTTTTTTTGTATCAGGGATCGAACTCAGGACCTTTCGATTTTGAGGCAGGCACTGGAACCACTGAGCTAAATCCCTGGCCCACCTAGTGATCTTTTAAGGAGTCAAATTAGTTGGGGGGAAGGGCCAAGGATTTAGCTCAGTGGTTTCGCTGCCTGCTTCGCAAGTGCAAGGAACGGAGTTCGATCCCCGGTACCAAAAAAAAAAAAAATTACTTGAGGGTGTTCAGCTGATGGTCCCCTAGAGCAGGTGCAGAAGAAGGGAACCAGCTTGGGGGGGTATATAATTTGGGGGGCTTCCAAGAGCTGAGTGTGGAAGCATCCCAAGTGTGGCAGTACAATGTGCTAATGGGTGTGACTGTAGGAGTCACTGGGGGGTGAGCAGGGGCTGGGTCTGCAGGGTACTTTCCTGTGGGATTTTAGTCTATTGTATAGCATCAGGGCTCTTACAGGGGTGAGGAAGGTGGTGTGTTCCAGTGGGAGGGTGGCTGGTCCCACAGAAGACTGCCTTCTCTCAGATCACCCTGAGCCTACCTCTCCAGTCCCCAGGGGTCCTTCTTCTAACAGAAGGGCACATAGGGGGCTGAGGGAGGTGGGTACATATCCTGGAGTCAGGCCCTGAGGACTTGAGTCCAGAACATGGCAAGGAATGATGCACTCTCCCAGTACACTGTGCTGACTTCACAAAGGACAGAGGCCTCCAAGAGTAGGACCCCTGGGAAAACAAAGTCCACACCAGACTATCCCAGGGCAGGGACATTTCCTCAGGCAGCCAGCAGGAAGGAAGTGAGCCCAGCCCAGCTGGAGAGAGTGAGGAAGCACTGCCCTGACTCCCATTGTTTCCAGCTTTGGGGTCAGCTGGGGAGGCCCAGTACAGGGAGTTGCCCCCAGGCTGGGATAGTGCGTGCGTGCGTGCGTGTTAGATAGGATGTCACAGGAGAGCCCTGGTCCTTGAACAGTAGGGGTAAAAGTGGCTTTTTTTTTTGGTACTGGGAATTGAACTCAGGGCCTTGCACCTGCCAGGCAGGTGCTGCCCTGCTGAGCTATATACCCAGCCCTATTAGGGGTAAAAGAGGAAGATGACAGATCCATAGGCTGGCCTCTTATGGGGATTGGAAAGTTGGGCCACAGAACTCCAAGTGCAGGCTGCATAGGGCAATCCTGCTCCCAGTGTAAGAAGTTCAAACTTCTTAAAGACTGGAAGGCCAAGTGCACAGACCCAAAACTGGGTCCTTGAATTCCTCCCTAACTGGGAGTTGAGCTGATGGTCAAAAGCTAAGGCTACTAGAGAGCCTGCCTCACAGTTGGCCCTAAGAAGTGTAGGCAGAGCCAGGCATGGTAGTGCATGCTTATAATCCCAGCACTCAGGAGGCTGAGGCAGGAGAATTGCTAGGAGTTCAAGGCCAGCCTGGGCTACATAGTGAGTTCAAGGCTGACCTGAACAAGACTCTGTCTCCAAAAAACTACAAACAAACAAAACCAAAGAACTGTCTGGGGTCACACTCCAGGCCAGTGGGGCCAATCCCTAGCAAAGCATCCCAAGGGCTGATTCCAGGAGCCCCCACCACACAGAACACAAAGAGGTGAGTGCCCCACTCATCTACAGGGGGCCTGTGATGAGGTTTGTGACTATACAGCCACCTGCTGGCCAGGGCTGGGATTGCCACAGGCATGCTATTAACCCTTTGTTGGTGCTGGAGTTGAGGGACTCACCAGAGTCCTGGGAGCAGGTGTATTTAGCCCAGGTGGTAGCCTAAACACTGGGTACCACAGTTCCAGAAGATGCCACTCTCAGATACAGGATCTACAAATAATTTTATTGAAATCGAACAAATAACACAACAATCTTCCTATGCTGGGGAGCACCATCCCCAAGCGATGTCCCACGCTAGAAGCACAGAGCTTGCACAATAAGGAATTAAAAGAAAAAAAAAAAGTCATTTCTATGTAGAAATCAGACTCTGCCCCAACATCATGGACTAGACTATTTACAAATCTTCACATTTTAAGTACAGTATTCCTTTTATGTTTTTGCCCTCCTTTCTGTCCCTATCAAGGGGCCCTAGTACTTTCCCTTGACTGATGCAGAAGGGGTGAAGATACTGTGGGGGAAGAGTGGTGGTCTCCTCATAGCACTACTGGCACCAGCCCTAGTATGTTGTTCTTAATCACAGGGTCCACTACCCTCCCAACTGGGTGGTAGGGGGAATGGCTGGTGCAAAGGCATGGGGGAAGGTTAGAATAGTCTCGGGGGAACTACCCATAGGCACAGACATCCACACAACCTGTTCTGACTCTGGCCTGTACCTCTTAACTGAGGAGAGGGCAATAACTAGTTGCACTGGGGAGTGATCAGCCAAGCCCTGGGAAAGGAAGAAGCTACCCATACCAGTCCTCATTCCAGTTAACAGCCAGCAAACTGTCCATCTGAAAGTGGGAACAAATGGCAGGTAGGTGGGAAGAATCAGGCTGGTGCTGTCCCCAGCCTCTGTCCAATATAGGAAGAATCGAGGTAGCAAACGGCTGAAATGCTCTGACTAGGGGGTAAAGGAAGTGAGGGAAAGGAAGTTCCCACTTGTGTAGACCTCCCAAAGCCCAGGGGCTGGAAGAAGGCAGACTTTGCATGTAAAGTGCTGTAGCTTCTAGTAAGGCTGGGCCCTAGGCAAGCTTGGAACCAAGAACCACACATTCCTGACTGGCATATGCCCTGTGGCTGGGAAAGCTCTGCTGGTAACTCTCCCATTAGCCTTTGCCAGACACCAACACTCTCTTGTCCACACACAACCCAATACTCAACTTATACCGAGGACTGCCCTGCTCACAGCTGGGCCAACAGAGTTTATGCAGGGCTGTGGCCCCAGCCTGGGCTTCTCAATGGAAGCCACACCTTGAGACTGGAAGTTTCTTGCTGGGTCAGAGGGGGTCCTTGTGTCCGTCACCCACCAGGCTCACAACTCGTAGAGGATCACAGGGAAATCCACGTGGATGCGGGGGGGATCCAGCTTCACGATGCCCTGCCATGGAAAACAGAGGCTAATGAGAGTCAGATTAGAGTTTCTGCTCTAGGAAGCCATCTGGCCCACCCTCAATAGATCCCATCTGGGTCTACCTGCACATACTTGATGTATGCTCTATAACCACTGCCCAGCTGCTCACCTGAGGAATCAAATTCTTATACACCCGCCTCAGCTTGGCCCGCTTCTGGCCATTCTTGGTGACGATTGTCTCCTCATAGAACTCATGAGCCAGATCCCCATCCTCGTCATAGAACATGGAACTGTGTAGATGAAAAAGGGAACAGACTGGGCTGGAGTCCCAATCATAACAAATACTAAAGACCACAAGAAGTGTGCCCAGTCCCAAGTTGAGAGGAACAATTGGTGGAAAAAGAAGATAACATGCCTGGAAAATTCTTCAGTTGGGGTTTAGGGTCTACTAGAAGGAAATGAGGAATGGGGCAATGCTAGTGTTACTCCGTCATATTCTCAAGAAAAGAGGCCATACCAAAGCCATTTCTTTTTTTTTTTTTTTTTTTGGTACCAAGGATCAAACTCGGGACCTTGTGCTTTCAAGGCAGGAAGTGGAACCACTGAGCTTAATCCCTGGCCCTTGCCATTTCTGTATGTTGTTTTTTTTTTCTGGTACTGGGGATTGAACTCTGGACCTGTGCTTTCGAGGCAGGCAGTGGAACCACTGAGCTAAATCCCCCCTTGCCATTTCTTATTAGTGGCTTTCCTGCAAGAGCAGCCATTCCAGTATTAACCCCTTCAACTAGGACTTAAGAGTGGGTGAGGTAGTGCCCTGGGCATTGGTCTCACTTCAGTCTCTAGGCCAGTGCCAATGACTGAGGTAGCAGATGTCCAAGCTAAGAAGGAGCCTAAAGGGAGGAAAGTTACATCACACGCCCAGTGACTGGTGCAGCCACATCTGCTGGGTCTCTAAATCTCCACCATAGGGAGTGGACATCCCTAGGAGCCTACTAGGGTCAGGCAATTCTGATGCTCCTGTGTGGGCACTTGTAGCAAGAGGAGATTAGGTCAGTGCTGCAGACCTGAAAAACATAACCAGGTGAGGGTCTTTTTTCCTTGGCCTCACCCTCAACCCCAGGGCCCATCCCTGCTTTCCCAGTCACTGTTCTCAGAGGTCCGATCTCCACTACTGTGGGGAAGGGGAGAACTCTAAACAAAAGGTCATTCTCCCCTTGGAAGAACTGGGGGAGAGGGGGAGAAAGTAATAATCCTCAATTTTCAGGCTGAGCTGTAAGGGATGAAAGAGATCCTGAGCTCTCATGGAGGCCCTATCTTAGTTTTACCGCGGAGTGTGCCTGCTCAGGGTCAAGCCTCAAGCCCACTCTTTCCTAGGGAGACTTTTAAAGCAGCTAGGCCTCCAGAAGCTGACTGCCCGGCTTTCCCCATCTCTTGCTCCGATGGGGCCCCGAAATGCAAGACTCGTCATGGCTCAAACACAGGGGTCCAGCGGCGGGAGCTTGCTGTGGTGCGGTGTGCCCGGCCGCCTGCGGTCCTCCCCGAAGCAGAATCCACGCCCTTACCCGCGACGCGTGAATACGAAGGGGGGCACCCCTCGGCCTCGAGGCCTCACCAAGGCTTGCTCAGCGCCCGTAGTCTCCGGGACGCCGCCTCCCGCCGCCGAGGTGAAGGGCCAAAGGCCCCGAGCTTTGGAGCTGCTGGCGCCCATGTCAGGGTCGCCGTCGCATGGCGATCCAGCGGCCGCTGCGCTCTCACAGTGCAGAACGCGCCACCATGCCGAGCCCCAGCCTCTGTCCTTAGGTGGTAACGCCGCCGCCTTCCGCAGGCTGGGTTGTCTCCACGGAAACCTCACTTCCGCTTCCGTACGCCTTGCACGCTGCCCTCTCTGATTGGTTACTGCTCTTGTCCGTCCTTGAGGCGGGGCAATGGCTACCCTCAGAGTTTAGGCGTCCCAGCATGCGCCGCAACTCCCCAGGTCCCAGAAGGCCAAGCGGACAGTTCTCGCCCAAACGGTGGCAATGTTTTCCTCTTCTTCTGGAGACTAGTTGGCCCGTAAGGGAGTTCTAAAAGTCCCTGATCGCCGAGCTCGGGCTCAGCTGACCTACTCAACCTGGTTATCTCCAACCAGCATTTTAGGACCTGAACCCCCAACCAGGCCACAGGAAGCTCATCTAGCTTCTAATCATGTTTTTGTGATCATTACTGTCACGTGTAAAGAAACCTAGCCCAAGGAAAACGAGCTGCCTAATGCCTTTTTGGCCAAATGTTTTGTAGTTACACTGAGGTCTGAAGAAGTTCAAATTTTGTTTCTCCCAAACTCACCAGAATACAGGCTTCATGGAAACAAGAATCCTTAACAGCTCTACTCTTAAGTGCCATGTGCAGAGCCTGGTCCACAGCAGCAAACGAAGGAGCTATACTACAGCTTCTTGGTGTGTGGTGAGAATGGTTTTCCTAGTAATAATAAGCTGCAGCTTATTCTTGCTTCCACCATGACCTAAGCCCCAGGGTGCTGAGTGACGACATATACACATCTCCTTCACATATTGCTTCCATGTCAACCTTCCAAAGGATAAGGACAGGATACCTGTCCATCACCCTTGGCAGCCACTGGCATGAGAGGTAACCACAGCTATGGGCCCACAATAGAGTCCAAAAGCAGGAGTTGTCTTAAATCTTTATTCAGCCAATTTTCTCAGGCCTCAGGTCCTGATGATGTCACCCCCCCCCCCACCCTTTTTCCCCACAGGAGGCATTCAGTTGAGGCTACAAAACATCACATACAGTACATTCATACACTTCAACAAAAACATCTGAGGGAGCCAGGTGTGGTGGCACATGCCTGTCATTCCAGCACTTGGGATGCTGAGGCAGGAGGATCACCACAAATTTGAGGCCAGCCTGGGCTACACAGTGAGTTCAAGACCAGCTTGCACTACAAAGAGAGACCCTGTCTCAAACAAACAAACAGACAAACAAACATACATCTCAGGGAGAGACCCTGGCTTTGATGATAAATGAGGAATGGGCCTGGCCCCCTGTCCTCATCATGAAGACCCTGGTCTGGCCCAGGGACATCCTTCTTGGGAGGCACTGAGGCGCTATCTGCACTGTAAACCAACACTCCTTGACCTCAGGAAGGCAGTATAAAGAGCAACCTAGACTCCACCTCAATGCCTACCTTATTCTGAACACTCACTCTTGGCTCTGATAAGGCTATCCTGAGATTTCACTCAAGACCCAGAACACAACTTCTTTTCATAGTTGAGGGCCCTCAATCCCTGTAAACATTACCCTTGTTTGTGGGATCTTCAAGATTCTCATATCTGAGACACAAATTAAGGAGACTTCTATTTGCTCCACCTCTGCTGCAAGCCTGGAGCAGCTGCCCAGGGCAGCCTTAAACTGCTATAACCCAGTATATGAGAGGCAGAGGGGTGCAAAGACATGCCCTGCTACACCCATTGGTGGACACAGGGGGTCAGCTCCTTTGCTGTTCCCTGGGCTTGTTCTCCCCATTAGTGGAGAGCCTTCATGCACACTCATTCCTCAGGCCCCCATGGGCCCTGTCACACTCACACAGCACGCTCTTGGCACTGCCTACTTTCCTCCTGCCACCCAGGTATATAACAGGTCACCCCAGGGGGCAAGCATGCAGGGCCTCTTGGATCTTTTGGCGGCAACGGGAGTACTTCTGCAGGATCTGTTGGAGGTGTTCTTCTTCCTCTCGCTGCAGGATGCGCAGAAAATTGTGTAATTCTGGCATGCTGAAGGCATCCCACTGGAAGAGGGTGAGGGGAAGTACACAGGATGCAGCAGGCATGGCCAAGCAGGCAGACCCTCCCCAGAGAAAGCCATGATATAATGATCACAAGAGCTAGATCTGGGCTTTTTGATGTTAAGCTCTTGCTTGAATAGTCTTTGCTAGAATTCTTGACAGTAGTCTAAATAGAAGAAGGATCATATAAAAAGTTACCCCACTGAGTCAGGTTGTACCTATCCTCAGATACATAGTCCCTAAGTCAAAAGAGAGTTTTTCTTTCTTTAAACAGGACTAGTGATCAAACCCAGGGCTTCATGAATGCTAAGCAAGCATTCTACCACTGAACTAGACCTGCCACCACCACCTTTTTAGTGTTAGGGATTGAACCCTAGGCCTTGTGCTAGGCACACACTTTGCCACTGAGCTATATCCCCAGCCCCTAGGTAAAAAGTCAAATGCTTAAAGGGGAGTCTTCATGCTGTCCTGGGCTCACCATGCCATTAGATAGACTCCTGAATCTCCAGAGAATTTTCCACACCAGGAAAAAGCAAGGAACTAAGACAAGTCTACCTAGTCCTTGGGACAGGCCTTGGGCCTTGGCATGAGTGGCTCAGAAGACTCTGCTTTAGCTACAGGGCCCATATGCTCCCATAGAGGCTTTGCAGGGCTTATCCTCTAGCTCAATTCCTTCCCCAAGTCTTACTGTATTTATAGCCCAACAGCCTTATCTACTGACAACCCCCAGGATATAAATACGACTATGTACTCACATTTACCTCCCCAGAGTCATTCTCCTTTAGAATGAAACTCAGGGCCTTCTCACTAGGCCCTGCAAGGAGCCGTAACCGCAGAGGCTGCTCATCATCTGACAGTTTCCGGAAGTACACTGAAGGCCAGGAACACGGAAAGGGATGTATGGTCAGAGGCAGGCCAAGCCACCTCAGCCCCTGCATGCACAGGTACATGTCTATATACTCTCACAGAGGCTGGGGTGGGTAGGAAGCTTACCCTGGCCATGACGTTCAGCCCGTTCAAAGAGTGCAAACTTTCGGGGATCATCTACCACCAAGAATTTGCGTAGGAGGGCCTCAATGACTTCACTGGCCCGTGTGCGTGACAGCACATGGAGATGCTTGACAGCATCCTTGGGCAGGTAAAAGGAGGTGCGGCGTCTCACAGCTGTGCCCCGCCCCAGGCCCCTCCGGGCATCCTGCAAGGAAGGTGGTTTCTTGATGGAGGGTACTGAGACAGGGCGTACCAGCTTCAACTGAACCTTGATGAAGCCTGTGTAGGAGCCATCTTTGTTCTAAAGAGAAAGAGAAACCAAACTGTGACAGGAGATTCCTGTTGAGACAGAACAGTCCAGGGTTCTTTTTTGTCTACTTAGGGCTAGGCTGGGTATATATAAATTATTGCTTGGGCCCACCCAAGAATAATATCTTGGCTATGACTCTTTGGGGCATTAGGCACATGGCTGGGTTCCTGCTCTCACCATGCCCTCTTCTTGAGCAATCAACTCACCAGGCTCATGAACAGGTTGCTGTTGATCTGGCCATTATACTCCTTGATCTTCTGTTCAAGTTTGGCTTGAGAAAGATCAGGTGTCTCCCACTCCACAGGCTCATCCTAAAAGGCCAGTATAGACAGACACAGGGCCCTTGAGGAACCCAGGGCTTCTCTAAAAATGGGCCTCTGGGGCAGCCCTTGGAAATCAACTGCCTTTGGCACTAAGTCCATCTATCCTGAACTCATCATCACTCTGGATCTGCATGCTATGGGTAGAGACAGCAAAGCTAGGATCATTAGGCTTCTCTTCACTGCTTCTTTTTCTTTTTTTTTCAGTACCGGGGATTGAACTCAGGACCTTGTCCTTGGCTAGGCAGGTTCAGTGCCACTGAGCTAATCCCCAGCCCTTCTTCACTGCTTGTATAGGACTACCTCAGAACAGGTTGTGGCCTTAAGGATAGCAAAGAATCAGGAGCAACTTCAGACATATGGCTAGGAGCTAGGAAAATAAGGAATCTGAATACAGATTCTCATGTAAAGTAAAATCCTAGCTCCGGACTTGCAGTATAGCTCAGTGGTAGAGTAGTGCCTAGCCTGAGTGAGGCCTTGTGTTTGGTCCCCAGCATCACAATACAAATGAGAAAAATAAGAGTAAAACCATATCCCAATGCAGTAGATCCCAGTACCCAATTTGGTTTAGAGTCAAGGTTTGTCCTGGAGAAGGCAGCCCATTTGTCTACTCTATCCTGGCAAAGGGTCATGACCCACTGCAGGGTAGCAGGTGTGGGGACTGATGCACATCAGTAGTCTAGTCACCACTGGGCGGGGGGGGGGGGCGGTAATCTTTACAATGTCAGTACTCCTTGGTGGGATTCCTAGGGCCAATCCTCTACATCTCAGACATAGTGAGGAAAGCACTGTGACATGCCATTTAACCCTGACCCAACCTGCACAAAAGGTGGCTTTAGGCCAGGCTTCAACCTACCAGATACACAGGTAACTTCCTGGTATAGCCTGTCCCACATGTGCCAAGCAAGTGGGCTTCTGTACTTCTCCCTTTAGCCCAAAGATTTTAGCTCTACCACTTAATTCCCTCCACCCTCTTCCAGGGACTGGATTCTTGCCGAAAGGGTAGAGTGTGGGCTAGGGCAGCCAGGATTCTGAATTTCTACCAAACCGACTTGGCTCCATGTCCATCAGTCTTACTTCCTGTTGACATCAGACAGGCCCTAGTTGGAAATAGGAGTGTCACAAGCACAGCTGAGATCACCACTGACCAATGTCTTGTTGAGGGGGGATTCTCACCAGAAAGTCTCCTGGAGAATGACACTGTGCCTCAAGCTCTGTGCCAAAGGCAGTCAGGGAGCTCCCTAACCTGTTTATACTACTGATGAGGACAGATGGGGAGAAAATGATACAGCAGGACAAAACCCAAGACTTTTCAGCATTCTTTTTTTTTTTTTTTTTTTGAGACAGGGTCTCGGTATGTAGTTTAGTTTGGGCTGGCCTTGAATTCACTGTGTAGCCCAGGCTGGCCTCAAACTCACGGTGATCCTCCTGCCTCAGCCTCCTATGTGCTGGGATTATAGGTATGTGCCACCACACTCAGCAGCAATATACTCTGTACTTAGAACCTGCTGCTAATGTTTTACAGGAAAAAGGTTTTGAAGAAGGGTTGGGAACTGAAGCCCCTCCCTCTGCAAGTTTCCAAAGGTCTCCTGGATGGAGGACAGCATTAAGGAGTAAACTCCAGGAGAAACAGGTGTTAGAGACAGTGAGCAATCCTGTCAGGCTTGTAAGAACAAATGGTATTGCCTGGGTGTTGTTACACTTGTAATCCCAGCACTTGGGAGGCCGAGGCAGGAGGATTTGCATTGAGTTTGAGGCCAGCCTGGGCAACACAGTGAGCACAAGGCCATCCTGAATTACAGAGTGAGACACTGTTCAAACAACCAACCAAACAAACAAACATCACAAACCAAAAACTAAAACAAACAAACAGAACAAATGATGTGGGCCCTGGAAAATGAGGGCTAGAGACTGGCAATAAGGGGTGGATGTTTGTTCAGGTCCAAGAAGAGAGGCTGGGATAGAAGGGTCCCAACAGGGAGGAGTACTCAGGAGGGGTTTGGGGCAGGAGGAATGCTGAGTAGACTCTACTGCCATGACAAGGAAGAGCTCCATTTACAGAACAGGGAAGGCACAGAGACAGTGCTAACTTATTCCACACTCCCCGAATCCTTGTATTGGGGATTAAACTCAGGACCTTATGCTTGTGAGGCATGTGTGGCACCACTGAGTTAAATCCCTGGCCCCATTTATTCCACTTTTTTGTAATGCCTAAGCATCAACCTGGGATTAAGAAGATTAACTCCTTCCTCTTCCCCTCCTGGTTATCCTGGGGTCCTGGACTGGGATTCAGTGACCTCAGTGCAATACCTCCATTTGTAAAACAAAGGACTTGGACTAGAGTCACTGTACTATCTGGTCAGGATTCTAGAAAAGGAAGTTTAGTTTTCTGTTTCCAGAGCTGCCTAGAAGATTTTTTGTTGTTTTTTTGAGACAGGCTCTTGCTGTGTAGTTCAGTCTGGCCCTGAAATCACTATGTACCCCCGGGTGACCTCAAACTTATGGAGATCCTCCAGCTTCAGCCTGAGTGATGGGATTACAAGTGTGTGCCACCAAGCCTGGCATAGATTTCAACAATGACCCAGAAGGATATACAGCAGGACCATGGAATTTTCCTTCTTTGCACTATAGCAACCTCTCCCTCTACTACCGTCAGTAGTGACTGATGGTCTTATTTCACAAAAGACTTGGGACTTCTCAGCCTCCTTTGCAAGCTGGCTAGTGTCTTGTGGTTTTCTACCTTTGCATAATGGAGATGGCTAACGGTGAGTGACATGAAGAGAACCCTAGGGATGCACACTGGAACTTTGCACTCAGCTCTGGGCTGATATTTTGGGGTGCTGAGCACCACCCTTTCTATAAGGAATTTTGTCAACTTTCATCTAAAGCATCATCCACAACTCCATTTTCTTGGATCAAATGAGAACTTTGACTTCTCTTCTGCCAGGTATACTAAATTTCACAGACTCCGTCTCTCTTTCTTGTATGGCCTGTACGCTCCCCTGAAGTATTTCAGCTCAGGACATGACACCTCCACAGAGGTCTCTGGTAATGGAAGCACCTAGGGGGCTCTGAGAGGCCCAGCTGCTCTGGCACCTCACTTTACGAATTTGGATTAGTAACCTCTTCACTTCTTGTAGGACATTCCCATCCTCTTGTAGGTAAACCGCTCGAGAATGCTTACAGTTCAAAACAAGGTTTTCTTCCTATCCATTCCCAAATCTCCAGCAGAAATTGGAATCCTCTACATCAATTCTACATACAACTGGCGACAGAGCAGGACCAGCAAGGCTTGGGGACTCAGCAGGCTCCATCCCGGGGTGCGGAGTGCGTATGGAGAGCCGGCCCTGTCTCTCCCCTGCGAAACATGCTTCTCGTTTCCTGGAGAGGATTCCTCCCCCTCCACTTCCTCCGTTCCCGCAGGGAGGGCGTGGAAGCTCCCAGAAGCGAAATTAAGATGTTAGCTCAGGCTACGAAGCTGGCTTTAGTCATCGATGGCTAACGCCCGTCTCCGGTCCACCCCAGGTTACTGAGTTGCTAGTTCTGGTTCAACCGGTCTGTGACAAGGAGCACAAGGGGGCCCTGGCAGGCACCAGGACCGACGCGCAGGAACCAGGACTTTACCCGAGGAGCACCCGATACACGGTTCCGAGGCCCCGTCCCGCCCGGACCGGCTCTCGCCGCGGCAACTCACTGGGGAGGGCGGGTTCCGGCGCCCGCCCCGCGCCCGCCGTGGGCACCCGCGGATCCCACCTGGTCTCGGCGCGGCCTGCGTGCCAGCGAGGTGCGCGCCGTGAAGTACTGCTCGAGCTCTGAATCTGAGTCCTCTTGGCTGCAGTAGCCACTGCTGGTCGTGCTGCTCCAGGTCATGTCAAAAGAAGGCGTCTCCGCCTCGCCCATCACCGCGTCCCGGTACCCTAGTCCCGCGCTTCTCGAGCCTCCAACCACCGCCCCGGGCGCGCCGTGAGTGTGCGCGTGGGTCAGTGTGCGCTTGCGCCAGGCTAGCGCTCACCGCAACCGTTAAGACTGAAACGTAGACAGCCGAGATAGTTCTCTTGTCTTATTGGGGTAGGAATGCCGAGGGGTGGGGACACACACGCAGCTCCTCCAAAAATGACCTCATTGCCCAAGCAGCTGTACTCCAGCTCTGACTGGCAGGCTCCGCCCCACCTAGGGAGCATTCTAGAGAGTTTGCGCATGTGTGTCAACGCCGCCGCTAGGCTGGAAGAGGGCGGGAGCAGGCGCGGGAAGTGCGCGTGCGCCGAGCCGCGTGGCTTCAGCACCCTTGGGCATACAGCCAAGCCTCCGAGTAGGATTAGCGCCTCTGCTGCGCGGAAACCGGCTACTTTTTTAGACGCTCACTGCGCGCAGTGCCCCGGCTACCCCCGAACGCGGCTACCCCCGAACGCGGCTACCCCCGAACGCCGGCTCTGTCCCCTGCCTGTCCGCGCATTCCCGCCCCGCTGGGATATCCCCAGCCCAGCGCTCACCACGTTTGTGTCCCGTTCCAGGACGGGGTCCCAGCCCAGGTCCCGGGGCCCGCAGCAGTCCAGGCAGACCAGCGCACGACAACGGTAGTGGCAGGTGAACTTGCAGTCTGCGGAGATGGCTGGCCGTGAGGTGGAGCCCCAGCTCCAGCTGGGAACAGGGTCCCGGGAACCGAAGGGAAGCCCCAGAGAGAAGGCTGCGTCTTGTCTAGCTCTGTGTGACCGGCCCCTGTCTCAGGCCTGGTCACCACCCACTGCTACCCTGACTCTAAGACTGGTTCCCAGGCGTGTCTAGAAACTGGCTGGAAGGCTAGGAAACAAGGCCTGCTACCGGTAGTACAGAGCTTACCCCTTCTGCCTTTAACTTGAAGGAAAAAACTTTTAACCTACGATCTCCTCTGTTAAGTGTCCCCTCAGACCAAAACACTGGTCTACGTACACTTAATTTTTCCTTTTAACTCCTCTATTCACTCCAGTCAGGGCTGCCCTTCCCTCTAGAAAACTGCCCAGGTCAGGGTACTTGGTGGTCCATTCTCCACTCCCGTTCTCTGCATCATTTGATGCTGACTCCCAGGCACCACACTCTCCAGGTTTTTCTCTGATTTCTCTACAACTTATGGCCAGCTCCTCGGCTGGTTCTGCCTAGAGTGTCCAGCTCTAAAGGTGATGTCCAGGGCTCAGTCCTGATCCCTGCCCTGCTCGTCTAAACTCACTTGTCCCAGAACCAAGGCTCCAGCACCAACCTGACTCCTCAGATCAGTACCTTTCCTTGGATAGCTGACATTTCAAGTGAATGGCCAAAATTTAACTCTTCTTCCACCTCACCCCTAGCCTTGCCACATTCCTCATCTCTGTGAAAAATTGCCACTATCATCTTTTTGATTTCTTCTTTGTTTCTACTTCTTGTCTGTTTCTCATCACTCTGGCCGCTTTATTTCTCCTTGAGGACACTGCAATGTCCCAGCCTGTTTTGTGTTCTGTCATGAAATTCTGTGATTCTCCAGTGAATGTGAGACATACTCCTGCACTGGATGAGATCTCCATGCCTCCACTGGCCTAAGGACCATCCCTAAGTGCCTGTATGGTCCAAAACACTTGCTGGTGATTCCCCCGAGATCAGGAAGACCACTGAGTGTACGACTGTCTTCTTTGTTTTAGCACCTGGTTCAGTGGGCTCAAAAATAAATGTTTGCTAAATAAAGACTCAACAAAATTCCTGCCTGAAGGGAGCCCACCCAAACTCTTAACTTTTCCCAGGCCTCATCCCACAGGTGGTTAATTTCGCCTCACCCCAGGAATTCTGGAGGGGCCACTGAGTAAATCATTGGAAGAGGCAGGCCTGGAATGTGGGCTCAGAGGACAGTGGGTACAAAGGTTTTTTTCAAGAAAGACCAAGTCGGGCCGAGAATTTAGCTCAGTGATTCCACCGCCTGCCCCGCACGCGTAAGGACCAGAGTTCGATCCCTGGTACCAAAAAAAAAAAAAAATACCAAGTCACTTTAAAGACAAACTTGGAATCAGCACCGTTATTCACAGGCAACCATCTCTGCCCGACTGCACCTCAGCCCTGGATGGAGTACCAGAAGAGAGAAGCTATCTTTTTGAACTCTATTCCTCGGTGAAGCAAGGTAAGGGCTAGACAGTCCCCATCCACCCCTTCCTCCGGGAGCTGTCCTGCAGCGATGTCCCTGCCCCTTACCCGCCCATTCCGCTCTCCCTGGACTGCGGGGCGACTACTCACGCGCGCACTGCAGGCCCTTGCGCACAACGCCCCAGATGAAGTCACCGCAGAGGTCGCACCACGTGTGCGTGGTGGGCCCTGCGGACTGGAAGTGGTGGCCACGGCCTGGGGCCTGCTGCCGTGCGGGCTTGTGCGCGGTGGCAGGCGTGATGCGCAGCGCGTTGGCACGCTCCAGCCGGCTGCCACCCGGGCCGGGGCGCCCAGTGGGTACCAGCTCCCGCAGCTCAATGAGCTCCGGCTCCGTCGACATGGCACTCTCAGGGAGTGTTTCCACCCGCTCTGGGCACTAGCGAGTGCGGGGCGGGTGGGGCCTCAGGGCGGGCCGCGACTTGGGCGCCGCCCCCAGGATCCCGGCAGGGCGGTGGGAAAGCGCTGGGAGACCGGTGAGCTGGGCAATGGAAACCCATTCGAGCCAATAGTGTTGGCCCCTGGGTGGGACAGGATGGAGGCACTCTTGAAGAGCCCCTAACCTTGCTTTCCTTCTCTTTTTCAAAATCTCCCACACACCAACGACGACAACAAAGCACCATACATAGACTAGCATTTCTGGGGTTCAGCTTTACTGTGTTAAAGGAAGAGGGTCCCCACATCCGGCCCTTACCCACTCCTCCCACCCACGCCTCCTGCCTTGGTTTGTTGAAGCCGGGGCCTCCCTTCCCTCTATCTGCCGGGTGGAGCAGGAAGTGGGGAGCCTTCATTTGGTGTGATTGGTGGGGATGGGTCAACAACTACTTGGTACAGCTCTGCTCACCACTAGTGAGACTGAGGCTTGGCAGAAAACAGACCCAGGTCCTGAAGTTGAGGGGAATATTCTGTGTAGGTTGTTTTGTTCAGCCCTCAGCAGCTTTGGCCTTTACTTGGCTCTGTCACCCTGGGCTGCCAGGACGCAAGCTTTTCTGTGCTTCTCCCAGTGCTTGACTTGACACTCCCTGCAGGGAAGTGGGCCAGGTGAGGATGGCAGTGCTTGTGGGAGATTGAGGAGTGGGGCTTTGGGGTCCAAGGTGTTAGGGTACCCTCACCTGCAGCAATACCATTCCTTCTGGCATCTAGAGCAGCGCTTGGAGGCCTCTGCACTGCAGTATGCACAGCGAGGCCTTTCTGGGGCTACTGCCTCTAGCACATCCAGCCTATAAGTCTCAGCCCATCTGGAGAAGAGGTCAAAGAGTGTGAGTGGGCCTGGCAAGTAGGGTCACAGAAGTACCCCATCCACCTCTTTTGCCAGCTCAGCAGCATTTACCTTTGTGCCTGCAGGCGAAGGTCCTGGTCAGAGGGGCTGAACATGTGCTGAAGCTGGTGCTTGGCAATAGCCTGCCACTTGCCTTTATTCTCGTGCTCCAACCTCTGCCAGATTTCTGGGATCTAGGTTAAAGAAATAGTGATGGGCAGGAAGGAGCTAGCAAAGTGAACAGTAGTCCTCAGTGACTAACTTACCAGGTGCCTACCTGTTCCAACACCAGGTCTTTCTTAGGAGGCTGGGTTTCAACTAGGGCCAGGTGGGCCAGGAAGCCCTTCAGATCTGCCAGGTTGGGCAACTGGTCAAGTAGTGTATCTGTGAGGAAGACCCGAAGCTGCAAGGGTGTCCAGGGAAGGTCAGTATGAAGTAGGTACTGGCCAGAGGGCCAAGGAACAGGGAGGGCCTGAGTGGGGCTCAGGGTTCCTATGGGGTTTATGTCCCACTAGCTACTATGTCACCTGAAGCCCAAGATCCAGAAAGAGGACAGGGGAAGAGACAGGTGGGCATAGATAACCAACAAAGAAGCAGTAGGGGTGTGTAATGGGGTGGAACAGTGCTGGGGCCACAGGGACAGGTGTGAGGAACTTCCCACCTTGAGTAGTTGTCCCTTAGCAAAGTTTGTGAGGCAGTAGCGAGCCCGGGCCTCAGGGCTCAGTAGCAGGTTATACAGAGCGATCCATACTTGTCCTTCTAATTTGCTCAGCTTTTGTTGCTCTGAGGGAGTCAATGTCTGCCAGCGGCCACCCTCAAATCGCTGCAGTTTGCCTGGGTAGAAAAACCAGTACACTGGTCACAGGCCTTGCTTTCTCTTTGAGTGAGCCTGATGTGTGGGATGAGGGACTTCCCATTGCCTGGGCAAGGTGGGAGAGCCTAGGCCATAGGACTTGCCCAGGGAGTGGTGGTGCTGGCCCCAGAGCAGGGTGAGTCCTCAGCATTGGACTCATAGGCTTTGTCTGCTGCAGAGCCGAGGTCCAGGCCCACCTTGGTTGAGGCATTGTGGTAGTCTCTGGGATCTGGGGGAAGGGGTCTGCTTGCCTGTGCACAAGCTGCCCACATAACATCAATCCTGAAGCACTGGGGTGGGGCTTAGGTAGGCAATGGAAGACCCTACCTCCTTCCTGCCGTTTCCAAGGACTGTGCTCCAGCAATTCTACTAGGAGGCAGGGTAGGTTGTGGGTGCTCAGCATGCGGCTCAGGGTGCTCAGGGAAAGGCTAGGGGAGGGGTGACAGGGAAGGAGTTGAGCAGAGGCTATAGGCCCAGTCTTCCAACCCTCCACTGTAGGCACCAGGCCCTGGAGGACTGCCTACCTGTCCACACAGTCTGTGATGTAGCGCAGTACTGAGAGAGCCTTTAGTGAGATCTCAAATTCCATTAGCTCTGCCTGCTTCTGCAGCTCCTGGGAGGGCCACACAAATGTTCAAGCTGGGGCACCTCCTGCCCACACAGGTCTTGGGAAACCCAAATATGGACTTTACTAACCTCAACCTACCTGCATAGGGGTACAGTTCTGGAGCCCCTCTTCTTTAGGGGGGCCACCATGGCCGGTCTGGGCTACCAGCAGTGTCAGTTTGCGGTGGCAGTAGTCTACCAGGTCTAAGAGAGTGTCATCTGCTGATTCACACACCTCCTAGGGGGATATAGGGGGGAAACTGTCTCTCTCTTATGCCCTCCCCACATGTACACAACCTGCCAGGCCCTGGCCTGAAGCAGTGGTCCTCAGGCAGGGATAGTGCCTCACCTTGTGGAAGAACACTGTCTCCAGGAGGTTGATTATGGAGGCCTCGTGGTGTACCTGTCAAAGAGGAAGACAGGGCCTGGGCTGCAGGGAGGAGATAGGGGCTACTAGTTTCTAGTCCAGGGCTCTCTGATGGAGTGAGAGGAGTTCTGAGCTAGGAGGGGCCCAGCTCACCACCATGTATATGGGGAAGGTGTTCAGAGGCTTGAAGTCCTCCAGCTTGCACAGCACAGGGAACACCTTCCGCTTCCACAGCTCCACTGCAATCAGCTCCTCCACCAGTGTTGGGATCTTTCAAAGGTGAGAGAAAGAATAGGGATGACATAGACCTACTTTAATCTGACAATCCTCCCATCTCTGGCTCAGCTAAACTCAGTTCTGAAACTCCTCTGGACTCCTTGTCTCCCAGGCCCCATAAGTACTCTTCACCTCTCCTTAGACCTTCATTTCCAGCTGCCCAAACTTCTCTGTGGGGCGATCCACCTGCTTCCTATGACAGACAGACCACTATCTGTCATCAAGTTGCCTTGCTCTCCCTGTGCCTACACTCTTATCCCCTCTTCCCTCATTCAGGCATTCCTTTTAGGCTAGCCCTCTTGCTCATGCCCTCCCTCTGTCCTGCCTTCTAGACCTCCAAGGCTCTTTCTTGTGTTCTTAGTTTCACTCTTATTCTGGGCCCTTTATAGTGTTCTATTCCTACCCTATCATTTAGTAGTGGACTCTGCCATTTTTCTTGCAGAGGAACCCTTTTATCAAGTGATATCTTGGGTCTTCTACTTGTGCCACCTCCTGGCCCATTTTCCAGTCAGTCATTTCCCTAGTTTTTAATTCTGCCTCTCCCATGTCAGAAAGGCCTCTTCCTTCCAAGCCAAAGTCCCATATCTACTTCATTGGGAACCTCCTCTGGCCTTACAGTCAATTTAGTATGACTTTATTTTTATTTATTTTTATTTATTTTTATTTTTGGTACCACGGATCGAACTTGGGTCCTTGCGCTTGCGCAGCAGGCAGTGAAACCACTGAGCTAAATCCCCAGCCCTAGTATCACTTTAACACTTGGGGCCTTTCCCTATATCCTAGGCTGTTCTCAGATCCTTGACTGTCTCTGTAATCAACCCATCCCCTGGCACAGGCCTGGCGTGCTTGGTTTCTGTCCAAAAGGGGTATAAAAAGAAATGTAAGATGTTACTCTTTACCCTTTAGGGAGGGGAGGTGTTGTACCAGAGAGAATAGACACTTATGTACCCCTGAGGGATAGAGTGGTTGAGGTGTAGGAAAGGAAGGCAGGAATCCTTGGTGTACCTTTCCATAGGTGACCAGCAGCTCCTGGATGGGTTCTCCCTGGCTGACAGTGGCATCAAGGATGGCTTGCATGTTCAGTTTCTCCAGGTTCTCGTGCTGCTGGCTCCACCTGCACCAGAGGAGTGTGTGCATTTGGGTGTCCATGTGTGTACTAGGAGTGAGGATGGGGGCTGAAGACTAACATAATGAAGAGTAACTTGATCCTGAGGGGCCAAAAAGGGCTTATGAACTATATACTCCTAGTCCCTTTCCCAATGTCAGGCCCAAGTTCTCTCACTCAAGGTCCTGGAAACTTCTCCTGTCCCAACCGTCTCACCCTTCAGAACCCATCTCCAGAGGTGGGAAGCTGCGCAAATGCTCCACAAGCGCGTCAGCCTCCCCAGGCTGCAGCAGCTCCAGGTCGCTCATGTCGAGGATAGGATCCAGCGGACCTTGGGCAGCGGTTTGGGCTGGGGCGCTAAGACACTTTGGGACAATGGACTCTGGCAGGGATAAAGTCTGAAACAGGACGGTTGCTGGGCAGTTGGAGCGCGTGGGTCCTTGCCGCCATGGAAACGAGTTTGGCGCCTGCGCACTGTGGCCCAGTCAACCGCGCTCACCCCCCCCGCCACGCCCACCCGCTCTAGCTAGCAAGCGGTAGGGACTCCCAAGATTTCTTCCTCATAACCCTCCGCGGCCCACGAGTTTCTCACCCGGATTGTTGCGGTCTAGACTCTCTCCCGGGACTTCAAGTTGGCTTGCACAGGATTGGGGTAACCCGATCCCCACCAGTTATACTCTTACAGCTGTGCCTCTTGACCCTCTGGGATGCCACTCATGGCTTCCTCCGACCCTGTTTCTCACATCCTGCACCACCGGTTGACTCTACTGCCTGAGTACTGCCCAGAGCCCACAGCTTCTCTCCATCCTCATCCAGACTGTTCATGGGATAAGTGCGGCAGTCTTTTTAATAGACCAACTTCCGCTCTGGACCCTCCCAGCCGCTAGGAGTCCGAAAGGTGTATATCAGATATTACCCCTTCACAGGAGGTTGGCTCTGTAGCTATCTGGCCCTCAGAATAACTAGCTCAGATGCAGTTCACCAGCAGCTTTGCAAGATTACTCCTGGGCCTTTCTTCTACCTCAGGACTTTGATTTTTAAAAAAACTTTTTTTTTTTTGGTATTGGGGACTGAACACAGGGCCTTTGAATGTAATTCAGGCTAGCCTTGAACTCACTATGTAGCCCAGGCTGGCCTTGAACTTGCAGTGACCCTCCTGCCTCAGCCTCCAGAGGACTGGGATTACAGGCATACGCCACCACACCCGGCAGGGACTTCGATTTTTGAATCTCTTACTTTCATGCTTCAGCCCCATGGGCTTCTCCTAGGATCCTCATAAGTCCTATAGTGTTTTTTTTTTCCAAAGTGGTTTTTGACTCAAGTGTTTGCACTTGTTTCCTCTCTTGGAATACTCTTCCTGTTTCAGGGCTCAGTTTAAAAATTTCCATGCGGTCTTTCTTGACCATTTAATCTAGAGCAGTCCCTGTTCCCACCCCAACTCGTTCATCATCAGTATATGTTTCTGGCTCTTTTAGTTTATAATTAAGGGGCACATTTACTTAGCCTATGTCGGGTCTGTCCACCAGATGGCGCTCCAGCCATACGGGGACCGGTAGCTATTTCCTTTGCTACTAGTTCTTTGGTGGCTGACTCAGAGGCAGTACTCAATAAAGGTAGGCTGAAATGGATGACTTTATTTACAGAACTGGGGTCACCCCCCCGGAAATATGTACTAGTCTACTTGTCTAGCCCCCATGTACCAGGGAGGACTTAGCAGATACAACAATACGCCTCCGCCAGCCAGCCTCACTTCCAGCAGATGATGATGTTGGGGTCATTTTCCAGCCGCTCGTCCAGCTCATGATAGCTCATCCCTGGTGGGATGGGGGTGGGGTGAGGTCAGACGCCTTGGCCGCCATCTTGCCGAGCCCACCCTGCCTGCCCCGCCTGCCTCCACCTGTCTTGCAGCAGATCTCATCATAGCTGTGGCAGCCTGTATAAAGCCGGGCAGGGTGGCTGTGCTCCTCGTGAGATACTCGAACAGGATACTTCTGTAGTCGTCGGATAAGGTTCTTCATAAGCCCAAACTGGATCAATTTCCTGGGGTGGGGACCGGGGAAAAGAGTGGTGATGCCCTGACCAGGCCTTCTTCTATCTAGGTCAACCATTTCCTACAGTCACCCTTTCAATTCTGTCTTAGTGGCCAGACTGACCTCCAAGCCCATCATCTCTGGGAAGCCTGCCTGAGCTAGCTGTGCCTAGGATTTTGCTCACTAGAAAGTCCCGTTTCCTCTCTCACCTAGGACTTCTCCAGAGAAGCAGAGGTTCACTTGCCCTTAGGTGACACCCTCATCCCTCAGGGAATGCCACTCTGACCTTTCATCAACGTGCTGTAGCTGTTGGGGGTGTCGGCCAATGAGGTCTCGAACAGTAGTGCCAGGGCTCAGGCTGCAGTACAGCTGGAACACGTCCCGGAGGCTGGCTCTTTTGTGCCCTGTACGCACAGGGGTCAGCTCACCAGGTGGCCCTGCCCTCTCCAAGGTGGCCTCCCGCAGAGCCCACTACTACCTTGCTTGGTTACGAAGGACAGACACGCCTCTTGCAGGGACTTGTCATCTACCAGGTCCTGGACCTTGGGTGTTGGGCAGTACACATTGGAGTACTAGAAGACACAGGAACCTCACTGACAAGCATGGGGTTGGGCGGGTGGACCAGTCTGGCCTACCCACCTGGTCCACACTTCACTTATCCATACCCTAGACTCACCTACCTGGAGGATGGACACCAGTGTCACAACACCATAGTACCTGGGGGAAAGAGATGTGTTCAGTTTCTGAGGATACGCTTTCTCAGCCCATCCTCACAACCCTTGGGCTCTTCCTTGGCTGGTGACCATATACTGGGCATGACTGTAGCACCACTCACAGAAGGTTCTGGATGGCAATGCGCACCAAATTTAGCTCCACATCTGCCTCAGCTGAGATCTTCTGGACATGGCGGAAACCATCAATATAGGGCAGGATCTGGTCAGAGCAGGGCAGGATCAGTGGGGGCAGACAAGGCCAAGGCTGTGGCCAGCCCCAGGTGATGTTACTCAGGGAGGGCTGGCATACCTGTTGTGTGGTGAGGTCCCACTGTGAGTTGAAGAAATCCTCCTTGTCCTTCGTAAAGACAGGAACATCATACTCCTGGGCCACAGGAGGGTCTGGTCGCTGGTCAATCACCTTCAAGTGGATGGTGTTGGACTCATCTGCAGGGGACCCCATCCATATCCTCAGGGCTATCTTTCCCAAGAGGCCCTCAATTACTTCCACACCTACCAGGATCCCTTGAGGCAGGCAGGTGGCTCTGGGGATGGTCATTTTCTCTCTCTCTCCCTTTCTTTTTTGTGGTAGCACATATTGAACCCAGAGCCTTGCACCTACTCAGAAGCACTCTACCACTGAGCTACATCCCCAGACCATTTATTTTATTTTTTGGTACCAGGGATCAAACTTGGGACCCTGTGCTTTTGGGGCAGGCGGCGGAACCACTGAGCTAAATCCCCGGCCCTATAGGGTTTTTTTTTTGGGGGGGGTACCAGGGATTGAACTTGGGTCCTTGCGCTTGTGAGGCAGGCAACAGAACCACTGAGCTAAATCCCCAGCCCTGTTTTCTTTTTTGAGACAGGGTCTTGCTATGTAGTTCAGGCTGGCCTTGAACTCATTATGTATCCCAGGCCAGTCTTTGTTTTGTTTTTTTTTTTTTGGTACTGGGGATCGAACTCGGGACCTTGCGCTTGTGAGGCAGGCGGTGGAACCACTGAGCTAAATCCCCGGCCCTCCCAGGCCAGTCTTAAACTGCAGTGACCCTCCTGAGATTATTGGCATGTACCGGCATGTACCAGCATGTCTAGCTTTTATTTTGAAATGGGATCTCACTAAGTTCCCCAGGCTGGCCTCAAATTTGCCATCCTCCTGCCTCAGGCTTCTAAGTAGCTAGGAGTACAGGCATGCACCACCCATTCTTCCCCTCTGTGAGAAAGAGGTTCAGAGAGGGGAAGAAATGTGCCCAAGGCAGAGAGTGAGAGAGTTCTGCTGGCTGCCCCCATTGTCCATCATTCACTGGACCCTGGACATCATCACCTCTGCCTATGGCTGTTTTCTGGCCACCAATATGTTCAAGAGTCTTGTCCTTCTCTCCCAGAAGGTATGCTCACTTTCTCCTGCCACTTTCCTGTCCCTCTTTTATTCATCTGCTATCCTTTCAGAGGCTAGGCCATACCTATGGGTAGAGTACACCGGCCAGAGGCATTTAGTTCCTCCAGTAAGATGGTCATGATGGGCACCAACTTCTGCTTGCTCTCCTCTGTGGACACGAAGCTGCTCTCTAGCTGGATAGAGCATGGATAGCATGGTGGATATTCCAGGGCCCCTGGCTGGCTGGGTGCCCTGTCTAGGTTCTGAGCTAGGTATCAGGGTAAGGATGGAGCTTTGGAGACATAGGAACACTTTGCTCAACTCTACCCTTCCATACACCCAAGCCCATCTTGTTGCACACCTCCAGTGTGGTCAGGTAGCCAGCCAGTTTTTTAACAATGGGCTCCAGGGCACAGGTCTTGGCCTGGGCATCACATACAAAGCCCAGGTTGAAGAGGAGGGCATTACGGCTGTACTTCTTGTGTTCAATGCACACTGGACAGCCGATCAGCTTCTTTTCCATGGCTGTGCTGCATGGGCGGAACACAGTCAGGATTGCCCCTCATCTTGTCCCTTCCTCCCAGGACTCCCCAACCTCCACTCAGCCAGGGCCTCACACAGTGATAAGCTTGTTCTGAAGCTCTGGCTTGGTGATGATGTACACTTGCACGGTGTCAAATAGCTCCCGGGAGATGAAGTCCTCAGGGACCTGGGGACAGGAGTGGCAAGAGCCTGCTCAGTGGACAGTGGCAGTGGGTGGAGTTCACAGGATGACCTCCCCCAGTCCCAAGTCCTCTTCTCCAGTGTTTCCTTATCTCCCATCTACACAGGCCTACTACTCCTTTGTATTTCTAAACACATGCTTTGCTCTCACTGGCTTCCTGGCTTTTACATTCTCTGTTCTCTCTACCCGAAACACTTTTTGGTCACCTAATTTCCAATGCATCATTTAGGGCTCAATCCAGGGAGTCTCTTGGGCCACCCACCTCAACTTCCACGAGCCCTCCCCAGAACCCTATAGCCTGATTTTCCAAAAACACTCATTATGTGACCTAGTATGTCTCCCTTGCCACAACAGGAGTCTTAGATCTGAGAATCCTTCACGATTATCCGCGAATGCCTCCGCGCAGCACGAGAATCCACCGCCTCCAGCCAGCCAGATAAATTTCCGAAAGGGTCCCTCTCCCCATCCCAGTCCCGTGAATCCTAGCGGCACCTGATAGGTGATCTTGGGTCCCAGCGTGGGGTGGAACTCGCTGAAAAATATGCATTCGATGCGGCAGTTGCTGCCCATGGCGCTAGCCACTCTAGGGTCGGTAGTTCCTGGTCCTTGGCGTGCAGGCGTCACCACCCCAAGAACATCTGTCAGAGACAGCCCCGGTCGCTAACTGCAGCAGGCTTGAGGGCACACACCAGGGAAGATGTCTGCTCAATAGCGCCTGCGCAGCGCGACTCAGAGGCGTGGGGGGGGGGGCTTGTCCCAGGAAATCCCGAATGGGTAGACTTCGCACCCGGAAGTGAAGCCGCTCCGTGACGGAGCGGTGGCGCGTGCGGCAGGGCGCGGAGCACCCAGATTTTTTTTGGAGAAAAGCACTGCATCGGGTCGACACCACAGGTGAGGCGGACAATCCCTAGCGTGGAGGTGTAGCATGCTAGCGGCACGTGGGGCTGCAGTGCGCAAAGGGATTCATGCTGTAACTGATCACGCAACTAGGAACTACAACTCCCGGAGTGCTCCACGCCCTCCCAGCTGTCGCTCCTGCGAACGACGGCGTGATGCACTCTGGGATTTGTAGTCTTTCATGACCTTGCGCATCCTACTTTAAAGGTGGTCTAGCGATCAATACCAGTTCAGATACAGGTAGACGCTGATAGGTTGTCGGCCCTCTACTGGTAATTTGCGACGATTCCTAGTGCCAGCCTTGGCCTGATCCTTCCTACCATAACTTCTTGCAAGAGGGTGACATTCCTGCCCTACAACTCTTCCTCCAGTGAGAGGCTTTGGGAGTGACTCTTGCCAATGCTACTATGCTTTCAGGCTACAGCTGCCGGTCCGCCTGACCATGGCCCTTTCTATGGAGACCGAGTCGCACATCTACCGAGCTCTGCGCACTGCCTGTGGGGCTGCAGCTCACCTTGTGGCCCTGGGCTTTACCATCTTTGTGGCTGTACTTGCCAGGCCTGGCTCCAGTAAGTAGAATTCATAGTGGATTTCTTGGGAAACGGGCAGTAGGAGGCCCTACTAGTAGGGCCTGACTCCTGGGAACAGGCCTGATTTGCTTAGGAATATTCTGTCCTGGAAGGACAATGTTCTGGGTGGAGCAGATAGGTGTGGGGGCTCTGCCAGCTTGGTCAGTCCCCACAGAATACTTCATTTCTCTTTCCTTGTCATGGTGTTTCATTTGGGAGGTGCTAGATGAGTGGCAAAGCATGGCCTCTGGTCCAGGAAGAGAGGATGGGTGTGAAGCCAGCTTGTTGCAGCAAGAAGGGGCTCACATTTTGGCAGCACCTCCATAGGTGATGGGCTGCCCAATTCCTCAGCCTTAGGGATTGGTATGGCTAGTTTCTTGTTGCCTCAGCTCCATGAATCCTTCTGTTCTCATTCCAGGCTGGTTCTCCTGGCACCCTGTGCTTATGTGTCTGGCTGTAAGTAGTGGGTCTATGTAACTTTTAGGGGTGGGAGCATGGGTATGGGTGGTGGCCCCTGAATCTGTATGGACACTTAAGTGTCTGTTTGGAGGAGATGAATGCTCCAACTCCTACTTCTGATATAAATTTTAGGCTTGAATCAGAACAGATGTCTAAGCACAAAACGAGACTTCTCCTACTTCCAGGCAGGGAGCTAAAAAATTACATTTGTATTTTCCCATCCCGGTTTTACCTTAATTTATGATAACGTATCTAATTTCCTCTGAAACAGAAGGAGACAGTTTTTGAATCATTTATAACTGACACATCTCAACCTTTTTTGCTAGGTAACCCAGCAGAGCTGACATTTCATAATAGCACCTAGGAAGAAGTGTGGCGAACCTACCCAGTCAGAGCAGATATCCTGTCCCAGATGGGGCTCTCCATTCTTGCTCCACCAAATGGAGTACTGTCAATTTACAAACATGTAAAGGGGCATCAGCTCAGGTGCACCGACAGCTTGAAGAGTTATCTAAGGCCTTCCCTCTACTGGCATAGCACCCTCACTCACTTCTTCTACCCCTGTCTCCTCAGTTCTCCTTCCTGATGACCGAAGCACTACTGGTGTTCTCTCCCGAGAGCTCACTGCTGCGCTCCCTCTCGAGGAAAGGTCGAGCCTCTTGCCACTGGGTCCTGCAGCTGCTGGCCCTGCTCTGTGCACTGCTGGGCCTGGGCCTCGTTGTCCTGCACAAAGAGCAGCTTGGCAAAGCCCACTTGGCTACACGGCATGGGCAGGCAGGGCTGCTAGCTGTACTGTGGGCAGGGCTGCAATGTGCAGGTGGTGTTGGGCTGCTCTACCCCAAGCTGCTGCCCCGATGGCCCCTGGCGAAGCTCAAATTATACCATGCCACTTCTGGGCTGGTGGGCTACCTGCTGGGTAGTGCCAGCCTCTTGTTGGGTATGTGCTCACTGTGGTTCACTGCCTCTGTCACTGGTGGGGCCTGGTACCTGGCTGTATTATGCCCAGTTCTTACCAGCTTGGTCATCATGAATCAGGTGAGCAATGCCTATTTATACCGAAAGAGGATCCAGCCATGAGCTCTTCCTGGCCAAGGGAAGCTAGATTTGTCTCTCAGGATAGATGCTGGAGCTGGGAACCTCCTGGACTGTCTTCCCCGATTGGGTCAGGGGACACTTCAGGCATTGGGGCTGTCATGAGTAGGAAACACACGTGTGACATTTTTGCTCCTCATGTTAGAGTGGCTCCCTTTTCCTTCTCCTCTCTGCATCATCCCAGAGGAGCATATGGATCATGTGTCTGGATGAAATTGGGGTTGCAAGACTGCCTCCCCAGCAATGCAGTTCATACTTGTGCTGGTATATCCAGAAATTATGGAGGGGAAAAAAAGAAAATAAAAATTATATGAAAACATTGATGGGAGAAGCAGCCCAGAGTTGCTGGTCAAGGGTCAAAGGGACAGATGGGAAACACTGCCTTCCTACTAGTAGCCCTTTAGGTCTGAGAGTGACATGCAGCCAGATATCACCTCTGTGTAAGCACATCCCCAACACTGGGCTGCTTCTAATGCCTTCAGCATAAGGTAACAGGCAGCTGGGCAAGGTGGGGACCCCTTCTGAGTGTTGAAAGCTCTCCCAGCTGACAGGTCCCCAGGATCTGACTGCTGAGTCTCCTATGCTGTCCAGGGCTCTAGCAGGTCATAGAGCTATAGCTTCAAGTGGTAAAGCTCTATGTTCTCTCCCATCTCCCAGCTATGGATTGTGCCAGTCTCCAGACTATGGTGGTTGGATATAGACAAAGACAGGATGGGCTGTCTCCATAGATGGCAGGCACAGAGCACTCTTAGAGATAAAACATGGGCAAGAGCAATTGGTTATGATGGAGGGGCCTCAACTATCAGATCCTCTGGAAAGGGGCAGCAACTGGGGACTAGAGGGAGAGAAAAAGGAGTGAGGGTCTGAAGTTATGGTTCTAAGAACGCTGCCTGGTAGCAGGGACATGGGGGAGAGAAGGGGACTGGAGGAGTGGGCTTCCTATCTAGGTGGAGATATCATGGAGACAAAATCCTTGGACCCAAAGTAAAGACCATCTAACTGCAGTTGAGCATGATGAAGGGCTGTACAGGGTGGCCTGACAGAGCCCAGGAGCCATACCTCAAAGAAATGCTTTATTGATACTCCAAGGCTGGGCTTGGCTGCCCACTCAAGTGGTCCTGTAGAAAATATCTGGGAACTGTGGCTGTTCTGGCCCAAAAGCAGTCACAGCTGCAGCAGAGGGAAACAAGAAATCCTGACAAACTTAGTCTTTCTCGGGGTGGGCAGGGAGGAAGTGCAGCTTTGCACTGATTCCTGCACTGGCTGGGCCCCCATAACATTTTTGGCAAATGCAAATCTTTGCCTTGGCTCAGAGTTCTTGGCAACCAGTTTCAGATGTGAGGGCTGGCCCAGGAGCTGTGGCACCAGTGTCTCTGTGGCCACTTGCCTCGGGCTGCCTGCTGAGGTACAATCTTACCTCAGATGGGGGCCTGGACTGGCTGATGCTTCAGAGGCCCCAGGCCTGACCTAATGGTTGTCTGGAGTTGGAACCAGGTGGCAAGGGTCCTTGGTAGTGTTGGCAAGAAACAGAAGAAGCCCCTGGAAGCCCCTGAAAGCCCCCAGAAGGCCTTCTTCCCTCTCCTCAGAGTGGTCATGCCCTGGAGTACCTGACAGGCATCAAGGGGGCTTGGGAGAGGAAATGCTCAAGGTGGTCTAGAGTTACAGCTTTGGGGGAGCTGCTTCAAAGGTGATGAGACTGGATTCTGGGGTAGCCCCCTTCCCTGGAGGTGTAGGAGCTTTTTCTGAGGGTAAGGGGCTGTCCACCTTGGCCCCAGCCTCCTCTTCATCATCATCCATGCTGGGCCAGAGGGACTGGTCCTCCACTCTCTTCAGCCGCTCATTCAGGGCCTTCAGGGCCAGTTGCCTAGAGTCAGAGGAGACAGGAAGGAAAGGTTACTGTGAGTTTGTGCTTGCTGCATACCCTGCACCCTTCACCTGTTGCTACCTCCCCCTACCACAAAAGACTTCTCTCCCAGAATCCCATGTTTCCCTATCCCATGAGGTCCTAGTACTCCTCAGAGATTGGGTTAGGGTCCACTCTGCCATCAGGATGAGGACTCAAAGGCTGCAGAGTTTTCTCTTCATAGCTGGGGCCCTTCCAGGCTGAAAAGGGCAGCTGGATATCTGACAGGGTGCCCACTAGGGCAGGCACCAGGAATGGTTCTGAGTTTGTTGCCTAAGGGTGAATGGATCTAGTGCTCCAGGGTAGATGGGTAAAATGGCTCCTGCCCGGGTGCTGGTGTCACATCCAAGGAGAAGGCTAGTAATTCTTCCTTTCTTCTGGTATCTCAAACATTTTGGCAAGCATCTTTGAGAAAAGCTGGCACTTAGCACCTCCCTCTGCACTCAGCCCAGGAAGCAGGCCAACTTGGGTCAGTTTACACCTATCTCTGATACCTTCTTTCTTAGAAAAATCCCCAAATCCACCAAGACCTGTGTTAGCACAGGCACTTAGATCCCTTAAAGGAAGAGAAGCAGCTCATATGGGTAGGGCCCAGGCCAGAGCCTGGTGTTTCCTTGGGGCAGACACTTGAAGGTGCTACTTTTCAGGCAGGTGGGAAAGTCCACTAGCAGGTATTTCCATGTGTTTGGTACCCTAGCCTACCAGAAAATAGAGTGACCATGCTGCCAGATAACACTTCTAACTGTGGTCACTGTGGACTCCTGATGCCTCATCCTCTCTGTGCCACCAAAATGGGGACAGCCTGTATAGCCTTCCAGGTTCTAGAAGAGAACCAAAATCTCCACCATGCCACAGAATAAGACAGAAGAGGCAGGGCTGGGGATTTAGCTCAGTGGTTTCACTGCCTGCCTCGAAAGCACAAGGTCCTGAGTTTGATCCCCGAAACCAAAAAAAAAAAAAAAAAAGAAGAGGCAACAAAGTCATGAACACAGAAAGCTCAGCATCCTTTCCCCTACCCCCCAACCTGGCATATGGCAAGTTGGCATTGACAGGACAGTCCTTTCCTCTTGTTGCCAAATCTACCATCCCAGGGATGCCCTTGCCAGTTCTGTCTAAAGCTGGTCAAGACAGAGAAATAGTGTCATGCCAATCACTTTCTCACAAGGGTCAAAGGGACAGATGGGAAACACTGCCTTCCTACTAGTAGCCCTTTAGGTCTGAGAGTGACATGCAGCCAGATATCACCACCGTGTATGCTAACATCATGATGCTACGCCAATAACTTACTTCTTGCTCCACCACCTCTCCCTGCTGCCTCTGTCCATTTTCTTGGACCTGGGTAGATATTTTCTGAATGTCCAGACAACCCTAACAATCTAAGACCTCTCATAGGAGGAGAGGCTACCACCACTGGCCTTATCCCACCAGAACAGCTCCAAAAGCAGCTCAGTTCCTCCCAAGTGCCGCCCTCCTGGCCCCATTTCCTCTACTGGATAAGATCAAGACAGACCCCTGTCTTTAGGACTTATCACCCAGAGATCCAAGCTGTAGGGCTCAAAAGTAGACTGTGCAGTAAGCTGTGAATGCTTTTCCATACATATCACCTGGGCCCACCCAGCCTTTAAACTTTAAAGGAAGGGATGTATTCTGCACTTAAACTGCACAGCCCCAGGGGAAGAAAGTCCTCAGGGATAACTTTTCTGCTAAATTCACAGAGCTTCTTGTTCAGAGAACCCATTTTACAAGCGAGAAAAAGCATGAGTCTTTGACAAATGCAAAGGAAAAAAGCCTGCACCAGATTGCCTCAAAAAACTCAATATAAGCTGGACATGATGGCGCATGCCTGTAATCCCAGCACTTGGGAGGCTGAGGCAAAAGGACTGAGTTTGAGGACAGCCTGGGCTACAAAGTGAGACCCTGTCTCAAAACAGAAAAACACACCCAAAATAAAACCCCTCAATAATAATGTTGAGAATGATGGAGCTGTGGACTTTGTGGAAACTGTGACTGCTCTGAGGAAGCAACAGACCTGGGAAAGAGGTGAATTAAAAAAGATCTCTCCTGCTTGGCCAAAGTCCATCCAGTGAATAATTTAGTTCAGACTCCTGATGCTGCAGATAGCTTGGTTTACAGATAATGCAAATATCTCCATTTTCTGGTGTGATCAGCAAGCTCCTGAGGTGGGGTCCTATAGTCATCCTGTGCCCTGGGTTTGATGACATAAGCCTGCTGAAAGGGGGTGGGTAAATATGGTAATCTCCCAAGCTTCCCTAAATAAGTGGCAGAGAAGCACAGCCTCTGAATTAAGGCTCAGGAAGGGGGCATAGTCCACACTTGGAAAGTAGGGTGGCCCACATCACCTTTCTTCTTCTTCTTCTGTTTTTTTTTTTTTTGGTATCAAGGAACGAACTCAGGACCTTCCCCTTTCGAGGCAGGCGGCGGCACCACTGAGCTAAATCCCTGGCCCCATCACCTTTTTTCTTTGCAGTACCAGGGATTGAACCCAGGGCAAGTGCTCTATCAATGAACTACATCCTCAGCCCTTTTACATTTTTATTTATTTTTTATTATTTTACTTATTTATTTTGGTTTTTTGAGACAGGGTCTATGTATGTAGCTCAGGCTGGTCTTGAACTCACTGTGTAGCCCAGGCTGGCATCAAACTTGCAGCTATCCTACCTCAGCCTTCTGAGTGCTGGGATTACAGGCATGTATCACCACACCTGGCTGTACATTTAAAAAATTAATTTCTGGGCCAGGGATTTAGCTCAGTGGTTTCACCGCCTGCTGCACAAGTGCAAGGACCTGAGTTCGATCCCCAGTACCAAAAAAAAAAAAAAAAATTTCTTGTGTTGGGAGTTGAACCAAGCCTTGCACATGTCACACATGCACTCTGGCACTAAGCTACACTCGAAAAAAAAAGCTACACTTCCCTTCCCCCACTTTTTTTTTTTTTTTTTTGCTTTGTTTTGTTTTTGGTACCGGGGATCGAACTCAGGACCTTGAGCTTTCCAGGTAGGCGCTGGAACCACTGAGCTAAATCCCCGGCCCTCCCCCACTTTTGAGACAGGGTCTCACCAAGTTGCCCAGGCTGCCCTCAAACTTAGGATCTTTCAGCCCAGGCTCCCAAGTAATTGAGATTACAGGTGTGTGCTATGGTGCCCGGTTCAGACTACCTTTTAAGGACCCCAGTCATCTTTCTCTGTAGCCTTTTCACAGGGCAGAAAGGACCAACAAGTTGTTTCTGGATCCCAGGGATTAGTGTGTAGGATTTGGAGATTCAGAAGCAAGGCCAGGAGTGACAGACCTCCATTAGCCCCTTACACAGCACCAAAGGAAACTTAGCATTTCTTGAGACTTGTTAAGTGGCTGGAGTGCTGAGAAAATCATGTAGCAGAACCCTGACACCTATATGCTGGGTTTCTCAAGACCAAAGACTGGATCTTCTCTCTTCCTGGACCTGCCCAACAACTATAGGTTACCAGCCTATGTGCAACAACCACCTTGACAGGTGGCATATGATTCGACCAAAACTCTCCTAGCTTGCTAAGATTTTGGAAGATTTCACAGTACCTTCGACGCTCAGCATCTTGAGGGTCTGTGCCTGGAAGGCTGATGGTGATGGAGGACGGGGCTCCTACATCATAGCGCTTTACTGTCTTCTGGCATATCTTTACCTTCACCAGGATGCCATGCACTAAGTTCGCCAGCAGCCCCACCACTGGCTGCAGGATCTCAGGGAAGAAGGTGGCAAAAGCAAAGTGGTCAGCCATGTCCCCTCGGCCCCGGCTGTGGCGCTGGTAGAAGCGAAGATAAACCCAACTGGAGAGCAGCCCAAAACCGTAAGAAGCCAGTGCTGGGCTCTGGAGCAAAGTGGCCAGCCGCAGCAGTAGCAGCAGTGCCAGTAGCAGCATGGGCACTACGCTGACGCGCACCTGGGGCACTCGCAGGACCACACACTCTCCCATAGTTTGTTTGAGTGCCACCATAACACCAGCTAGGAAGCCCAGGGCGCCATGGATACGAACAGTGAACAGGTAGACCAAGTTGAAAGACGCCATGTACGTGAGGAGGTAGGCAAAGGCCCCCAGGAGCCCCACAGACACATTCACCACCGAGAAGAAAATCAGTAGCTCCAAGGCTCCCCAGAGGGGTTCCAGCAAACGCCCTGCCACTACCACTGTGGCCAGGCTGATGGCCACATCCCATACGTGCTGCTCCATCAGTCCATGGGTGGCCAGGGTCCAGATCCAGAAGTTGGGGGGAAAAAGGTAGCCTGGGGTGACAGCTAGGCAGCCCGTGTCCACGGCGAAGGAGAGAAGGTAGAGGAACAGTACCGCCGCGCACAGCGCCTTTACCACCACGCTGGCGCTGGCCAGGATAGCCCCCAAGTGCTGGCGGGCACCTGGAAGGGCACGCTGCATCTTCCCGGCGGGTGGTGGCCTGAGGGGTGCTAAGCAGGGGGCCAGGGGCCTCCCCGGGGCCTCGTCCCAGTCCAGCCCCGACGGGAGGCCCGGGCGCGGCCTCGTCACCGGCCTATGGCCCTGGTGAAGGTTTGGCCTCCGGGCTGGTCGGGGTGTGGTTCCGAAGGGCTGAGCTGGGCCTGGTTTCCGCGCCTGAGCCTAGGCTCCTTGCCCGGCCCCTGAGGGAAGGTCCTGGGCGACTTCGGCTCGCCCTGTAGGCCCTGCGCCAGGCTGGTCGAGCTAGCGTTGATTTCACGGCTGAACCTCCTCCATCCACACTTGGGCCCTTCGGTCCGCACGGGACTGGCCCCTTGTTCCAGGTCCCAGTCAAGCCGGGTCAGCTACAGCTCGGCCTCGGCCTTGGCTTCCACTACACCTCCCTTCGCTTTTCAGGGGCCGACAAACAGGGGTGTTGCGCATGCGCGCCCCACTGGTGGCGGTAGGGGAGCGGATGCCCTCCAAGTGCTTGTCTTCCTGCTCCTCGGCATGCTGGGATACAGAGTCCTCGGCCCTCTGCCGGGCACCAGTCGAACAGGGTTCTGGGTAGAACTACAAGTCCCAGGAGGCTGTGTGCCCAGGCCGCTCCCGTCCTGGTGGAGGAGGGTGTGCTGGGAGTTGTAGTTCTCAGGGCCATTTTCGCCAGCTCTTGGGATGTAGGGGAGCGTGAACAGGTACCAAAATCCAAAGGGTGAGGATGGGGTTTGGGCGGTTTAACTTTTTTGGGGTACTGAGGATAGAATCCAGGGTCTCACACATGCTAGGTAAGCACTCTACCACTGAACCACATCACCAACACTACTACAAGTTTTTAAATTTTGAAACAGGGTCTCAGTAATAAATTGCCCAGGCTCGTCTCAAAGTTATGATTCTCCTGCCTTAGCCACCCAAATAGCTGGGATTATATAGGTATGTGCCACCATGCCTGGTAATGAATAGCTTTTTAGTATAAACATGCCCCACATTTTTTGGTATACGTATGACCCATATAATAGAAACACACTTCTTTACTAAAAAAACCAGTGTCATTTATCTGAAACTCAAAATTGTATTTTATAAGCATTGATGGTTAGGCATTGCTGCAATTTATGATTAAGAGTTAGATGTCACTCTAGAGTCAACCCCTGTGGAGGAATGAGGAAAGCCCTATCTTGGCTGAGGCCTGGAATGCCTTTTTTTTTGTTTTTTGTATTCTTTTGTTTTGTTTTTTGGTACTGGGGATCAAACTCAGGACCTTGCGCTTGCGAGGCAGGCAGGTGGCAGAACCATTGAGCTAAATCTCCGGCCTGCTTTTTTTTTTATACTGGGGACCAAACTCAGGTGTGCTCTACCACTAAGCCACATCCTCAGGTCTTTCTACATTTTATTATTTTATTTTTGGCTTTTTGAGACAGGGTCTCAGTCTGTAATTCAGGCTGGCCTTGAACTCGTGACAATCCTTCTGCCTCAGCCTTCCAAGTGTTGGGATTACAGGTGTGAGCCACCATGCCCATCCTCTATATTTTGAGACACGTTCTTGTTGTGTTGCCCAGGTGGGACTTGAAATTTTGATCCTCTTTTCTCAGCCTCCTTCAGTGCTGGGATTATAGGAGAGCACCACCATGCCTGGGCCTGGAATGTCCTCTTTCATCTGTTTAGCATTCAAGGCCCCTTCCAGGGGCCATTTCATGAAAGCTTTGCTGATTATTTACTGTTGTTACACGGCAGGGGGCAGGTATCTTCTCTCTGTTTGCTCATCTGTGCTATGGAGATACACTTGTACCAACCCCTAAGATTATGATTAGGATTAGCTGGATGGCCATCAGTTGAGTGCAGATTGAGCAGAGTCCTTGGCCCTATGTGTGTTGGAAAAAGAGTGCTGACAGTGTCCAATGAGAAACCTCTTCAATAATGATTACAATTTTCTTCCCATGAAAAGAGCAGAGGTCATATGAGCTTGGGTTGAAGATAAAAATGAACAAGGGTGAAAGAACTGACTTGCCAGAGGATTTGCAAAAATTGGCTTGGCCTTTGCAAAAACTCCCCTTGGCTAGGGTGGAGCCCCCACTTGCTTGTGGGTAAGCCTAACCCTAGCCTCCTAGGGAGAGCAAATGGGCCCTCGAGCACCAGCAGGCACTGGCTTGTGTGGCCCCCAAAGTCTGACCAGATGGTCAGCTTGAAACTGCTTGTCATTACTGTCTTGTTTCTTTCAGGGTCCGGGCTTTGCCCTGAGGCTCTGGGAGGCTTTTTTCTTGGTGGTTTGTGAGATGAAATGAGACAAAGTAGGTCAAAGGCCTGCATTTTAGGAGGAGTTGGAGCATCATGCCCTGTCACTAGTGGAGACCTGGACTGCTCCTAACAGAGCAGAGTGGGACTCTAAGGTCCTGGCCACTTGTCTTTATACCTACCCAGTCCTCACCCCAAGTCCGACACAGTGGATAGAAACTGTTTGAAGTGAAAATATGAACATTATTTAATAACTGATCTTCTGTAATAAACCATTTGAAAATATTTTACAAGGAATCACACACATGATATTTTACAAAGTTTCTTGACTTTTTTGTTGCTGTTTTTCCAACTTGTCTGTACAAAATAGAACAACAACAAAAAAAAGGGCAGAGAAAAAGAAATGACCCCCCAATCCCCCAGCCAAGTGCGGGGGCAGCCAGGTCAGGTGGGTGATGAGAAGGATCAGACCCAGCTGGGGGTTGGACAACTACCTGATGGGAATTGTTTGGTTGGATTTTTTAAAAACTTAAAATATATATTTATTTTTCTGTATATGTTTATTTTTATATCTCCATTGAGCACCTAACTACACTACAGTTACACACACGCCCCCACAGAACACAACTGACATCCAGGCTGGGCACATGTCATGGATACCCACCCTGGCACCGGCAGCGGGCATGGACCATACACACACACTGAGAAAGCAACAAGCAACATGACATTAATTAACGCAGCCATTAATTAATGCATCACCCTCCCCCCTCCTCCCAGTCCATCTGAGCCCCATGGCTACATCCCCCTGCCCTCAGTCCCCGAATGGCCCCCAGGCTGGGAAAATGACCAGAATGAATGGTGTGAACAGATGTGGCCAGGCCTAGCCTTTGTGTGTACATTGTATGTGCAAGTGTGTGTTCAGCAGGGTAGGAGCAATTTGGCCTCCTGGGAGCAGGGAGTGTGTATGTGTGTGTGAGAGAAAGTGGGAAGGACATAAGGAATGGGCACAGGCTGGAGCATGTAAGGGCCAGATTCGGGGCAGGATGGCCCAGCCAGGAGAGATCAAGTCACCCCTGCTAAGGCAAAGGGCAATGTCTAGTGGAGGTTCCTCTGCCCATGGGGTGCAGGCAGTGGCATGTGGTCCCACTGGGGGCCTGACACTAGTGAGAAATGGTTACAATGAGCACCTGGCAAGGTGAGGGGCACTTGGAGGACACTGGTGGCTTGGGGTAGGACAGAGGAGAGTTCCCCCCTGCCCTAGCATTTGGCACTGTTTGACATTCAGCTTTTGCGATGGGAGGACTGGCTGGCTGCAGCTGATTTGAGGCAGGTGGTGAGTAGGAGATAAGAGTGTGCAGATGCCAACCCTCCCACCAACTCCTCACCCTGTGTAAGGCTTTTTGAGCCCCCCTCCCCATGGTGTCTACGTGTCTGTGTTTGTGTGTACCCTCTAGGCTATATCTAGCTTCTGCTCTCTGGGTTCCAGGTGTGTGTGGGGTTGTGTCTAAACTGATGTCATTGTGAGACTGTCCTGACACCTGCAGGTTGGGGACAAGGGCTGTAGGCCTGAAAGGGGTAGGAGCACATGGGGGGCTGCCCCAGAATCTCTCTCCCACCAGGACATCAGCTTGGATGCACAGGCCTTAAGCTGCCATCTCACCTTCCTCCATTATTCCCAGGGAAATTAGGTTTAGGGTGGGGTAGGGGGCCAGATTGGAGTCCAGCTGAGGCACGATTGCCTAGGCAGAGGAGGCTTGGTTTGGCACCGGTACATGTGGCCTCCCTGTCTGAACCCGCTGGGGTGAGTCCAGGGTCTGGGGACACTTGGACAATTTAGCAGTGAGACACGTTCTAGGCACACCCCGCTCCCCCCTGCCCCCCACCCCCGCGAGCTCAGGTCCTTCACTTAGGGAGGGACGTGGCTCTTAGGCGGGGATTGTGGGGGCTGGGTGGGGGCGAGGCTAGGGGCCCGGTGCCGGGAGCTCAGAGGGGGCGCGAGGCAGCGCGGGCATGGACTTGAGGCTGCGGCCGGGGAGGCAGGCCCAAGAGAAGCAGCAGCTGCAGGGAGACCAGGACGCCCAGCGACGGAGGGAAGGAGGCTCCGCGGCCACAGTCTGAGGTATCTTCCTGTAGGGAGAGGAAAGAAGCGAGTTGGCACGAGCAGACGGAGGGGTGGAGGAATGGCAGGTCCGCGGCCCCCCTACCCACTTACTGTCGCGTTGTAATCAAAGCAGATGTGTGGACCTCTCCGGTAGCGTGGTCTCTGCACTAGCTCACACTGCTCTGGGCCGTCCGCTGGGCATGAGTGGGGAGTCAAGGAGGAGGTGGCACAGAGGGGCGCGGGAGGAGGGCGGGGGGGGGGCGGGGGCAGGATACAGTGTGTTTCCTTCTGCAGCAGTCGGCCAGCCTCGCACTGGCTGCACAGCGGCTTCTCCGCCACCACGAAGAGCAGGTTAGTGTTGGTCAGCCTCTGTGCGTGGAACAGCCTGCAGGGCACCGAGAGGCGGGGCCTGGAGGTTCGCTCCGCCCGCCTGTCCTTGGCCCTTCCGAACTCCACCTCCCCGAACTCCACCTCTCCCAACTCCACTCCACCTCCCCCCACTCCACTTCCCCCCACTCCACTCCACCTCCCCCCATCCGCACCCGCCCAGGTGCCAGCACCTGGAGCAGTTTCCGCAGTCGATGATGGCATTGTAGGAGGCGTTCACTGAGCCGAAGTAGTACTGGGTCTGTTTCATGACGCAGCTGCTCTCGCGCGTCTCGGGGCTCCCTTCGGCCTCCGCGGGGTCTGCTGGGCCCAGAGCGCCTCAGCCCCGCCCACAGACCCTGAGCCCGCCTTCGTTTGGACTGGGGGCAGGGATATGAGGACCAGTCTCCCAAACCCTACCTACCGGCCTGGAACCAGCTGTGGTAGAGAAGGCCGTAGAGCAGCTGCTGGAACAAAGACCTGCAGGGCAAGGGGCACCGAGTCACAGTGGAAGCCAGGGCCTTGCCCCCACTTTTTTGAGCCCACTGTGCCAGGCAGTGCCTTTTCTGCCTTCTTTCCTCAGGACTCACCAGGTGGCAGCAGAGGTCCACCAGGCCAGGTTAAGGAAGTCTGCAATGGTGGGCTGTAGTGGAGAGGGGAACATGGGCTGCACTGCTGCCCCTCACCTTAGGTCGCGCCCAGCTCCCTGATGTCGGAAGTGGGGGTCATCTGTGGTCAGGTCTGCCAGCCCCCCATCTCCAGGCATTTCTGAGGACTCACCACAAAGACACCCCGGGGTGCAGCACCCAGGTTGCCAGGAGGCTGGGGAGCACAGGCTGCCTGATAGTCGTAGGACTCCTTGTGGGTATAGAAGGAATTGTTGTAGAGTGCCAGCATCAGGTTGGCATCCACCTCACTGAAGAACCTGCCAACCTGGGGAGGAAGCCATGGTCACAAAGTTGACAGAAGCATACCCCTAGAAGGTTCAAACTCCTATATGCCCTCCTTCCACCCTCCTCCTGACCCTCACCTGGTCCCACTGATGGTTCTGGTTTGACAGCACCAGGAACCCTCCATCATCAATGAGGACACAGAGAAGGTCCTGAGAGGTGGGGAGGGGGAGGAAAGTGGACAGGAGGTTGGCCCCAGATCCTCCACTTCAGGCCCAGGTCAGAGTGTGTGTGGAGGCACCCCCCAATCCTGGTTAGCCTGTAAAGTCAGGGTGGGGCTGCTGAGACTCAAAGGCTAGAGGATGGGCTTGAAGTCACACTTTAGACTAAGTCTAGGAGTGGGGGGATCTGGGGCCCAGGGCATACACACCTCATTGTTAACCTCACAATCCATCTCACAAGGGTTGTTGGGGCCACACTGCTGGGCAGAGAATAAGGACTGTAAGGCACTCACAAGTTTTCCTCTGGTGTCACCCTTTACATATCAGTTTCCCAGGTCATCTGCAGTAGCCCCTGCCTCTAGTAGGTGCTGGAGCTACTCTTGAGTGGAAGGCTTGATATGGGTCCCTGGGGACTTCAGAAAGTGCACTGCCAGGCTTACTCCCCCTTCTTCTGTTCTCATACCTTCTGAGGCTGGTCCTGGTGGGTACGATTACTGGCAAGCACCTTAAACTTCTCAGCCCAAGCCTCCGGGTCCAGCTTGACACCCACCACTATGTGGGAGAGCAAGGGGCCATTAGTGCTACCTGCCTGGGCAGCTCCCTGTTCACTGCCTCTTTCTCTTCCTCCATCCCAGGCACTCACCTGCTGGCCTCAGTGTGTGCCCACCTAGGCTGAGCTCCACAGCTGTGCTGACAAGGACTCCCACTGTGTCATTCTCCAGTTCCAGCGGCCTTAACAAGGCTGGGGTGGGGTGGATAGCAGTCAGAGATGGGAGCTGGCAGCCACACTGACTACTCCAAGCTGGGCCCTATCAACACAGGGCTGACCCTAGTTCTAAGAACCCAGCACCTGGTGCAGTGTTTGGCACAGCCCAGCTCTTGCTTCACATCTGCCCTGGTTTCAGCAGTGTCACGTTTGAGAGGGGCCTCAGAGAGCAGAGCCTAGCCTTGGATGAGAAGCCAGGGACACTGAGGCTTCCCACCTGTTGCTGGGCAACCTGAGCAGACACTCACTGTCCTGATGTGGGGGCTTGAAGATATAACCGTGGTTATCCAGGCTGCGGCGGTAGAAGCTGGCATTGAAGGGTTCAGGGTTCTCTGTCCAGTCCTCAGCTGCCCTGGAGCACCCAAGGGAGGCAGAGCTTGGTAGGTAAGGGGTGGTTTGTGGGGGACAGTGGTCTCAGCAGTGCAAGGAGGCCTCAGGGTAGCAGAATAGGGGCATGGTTCCAGACAGGGCAGGTGTGGGATAGTAAGGTAGGTTACTTACTTGTTGGGGAAGATGCGTGTGATGCCACCGTCAGTGGCAGCAAACACGGCCAGCAGGCTGTACCTGGAGGCAGCAGGGAGGTGTGGTCACAGGCCTGCCTTCTGCTGGACAGGGCCAGGGCCTCTGGGCCTATCCCAGCCTCCTGCCCTCTCAGCCTAGGTGGTACATACGTGTTGAGATCCTGGTCCCGCCACACACGCTCCACCAACTGCTGTGTGATGCCTGTGTCCAAGATCAGGTTGTGCAGAAGAAAATTATTACCTGGAACAGAGAGGCAGGAGTGGAGGGGAATCTTCTTGCAGCAACTAGCCCACCCTTCCTCTCACCCCCCAGGCTCCAATAGGAGCCTTCCTTGGGCCCTGGCCTGGACTTGCACCCACTATATCTTCCCAGTCTCCAGCTTCCTAAGCTCTGCCTCCATGTTACCTGGGCACCACCCAAATCCAGCTGCTCTGCCAAATACTCACACTGCTTGGAGTCTGGAGTCACTTTCTCCATGAGTTCAATGAAGTTTTTCAGGAACTCAGTGTTGTTGTCTGAGGCATTCAGATCCTTGCAATACTCTCTGGGGTGGGGTGGGGGGCAAGAAGAGTGGGCTTGGGGAGCTGGACAACACAGTGGGGTTGAGGCCTCCCAACAGGCCTGCATGGCCACTTGTTGAGAAGCCCAGGCTGCAGAAAGGAGCTTGTGTTCTTAGAGGCTGCAGCTGCTATGTGGCTGCAGGTTGCCAGGTCTGAGCTAGGGCAGGTAGAGCTGACATGAGAACGGTCTGCTTCTCCCACCTTGGTGGTTCTCTCTCCTGGGCTTGGGCCTGCAGAGCCTACCATCTTTCCTGTGTAGCTGGACCTAGATGGTGTGCCTGGGAGGCCTTAAAAAATGCTACTTGCATCCCCTACAGCAGTAGCCACAAGAAAGGACTGAATACTAGCACTGGCCTCTGATCCTGCTTCTTTCTGGCTGTGAACCTTTGGGCAATTCACTCAAGATCCTTGAGATTCTCTTTTTTCATCACACCAGAGGGTATCAGGAGTCAGTAGAAACCTGTGGGTCCTCAGGTTGGCTTTCCCTAAAATACTCTTCCCCCAGCAGTGGGCAGGCCAATCCCTCACCTTTTCCCGGCCCTCACTGGGATCAGACTCTGGGTCCAGAAAACATGGAGAGTATGGTAGGGCCTGCTTGAAGCTCTGCTGTCCAGGAAGTCTAGGTGAGCAGTCTCTCTACCCCGATAGATGGAGCTATCTCTCTTGCCCAATCCTCCTGCTACCAGGGACCTCTCCAGTGGCCTGTGTGGCAGCTACTCTGTGGGAATTTTTAAAATGTTCCATTTCCCCAGGCTCTGCCAGGACTCAGAGCTTAGAGAGAAGAACTGAGACTGGGTCTCAGGCCCTATTCACTCCTTGGTCCCCAGGGCCTTTATGCAGTACACACCCTGTGCCTCTGAGCTTGGAGCCTATACCTGACATTCCCAAAGTGACATCCTCACAGCTGTGTTCCAGATATACCATACATATGATAGGTACATCTGCAACTGTGAGGTACTTCATTCACTCACCCTATATGTATTTATTGAGCTTTCCTGAGTCAAAGATGCAGAGGTGACAGAAACACAGTCTTGTCCCCCAGAGAGCTTTCTCAGGGTCATGTGGGTCACACATATTCCCAGTCACTAATACCCAGGCCCAACCAAATTTACACACTTTTTTTTTTTTTTTGAGACAGGGTCCTGCTATGTAGTCCAGGCTGGCCTTGAACTCACTATGTAGCCCAGGCTGGCCTTGAACTCGTGATCCTGCCTCAGCCTCCCAAGTGCTGGGATTTTAGGCGTGCATCACCACACCTGGCTCTACACTCTGGCTCTTACATATGTACACAATACTCACAAATACATACACACAACTATAGAGAGAATCACAGAGAAGTCTGTGGATGCATGCACGCCATGTGCATACACACGGAGGTTTGGAGTGTCCAGAGCCCCCATGTGGTGCCTAGAGTATGTCTGTCCAGTGCACCTACCTGCCCTCATCCAAAACCTTGGTCACAGAGAGGGGTTCAACAACTGGGGGCCCTGGCCTCCTCGGATGTGGACCAAAGGCAGCGGGTGTGTGCTCCAAGATGTGTGTAGATGCTGAACGTGCACTCAAGGCATGGTCCAGGCTGGGCTGGCCCTAGGCCCTGACCCCTCATTTGTAGTGCACCTCCACAGAGCCCCTGCCTTCCCTCCTCCCGCTCAGTGAGCCACCACACCTAGGATTGGCACTGCTGGCACTGCTGACAGGGGCTCTGGTTGGCTCAGCCCCCAGACCCACAAAACACTGACAGACGCAGGACAATGACGGGGTGCAGGTGGGGGGATGAGCAGGACACCACAAACCAGAGCAGCAGCTGCCCAGCAAGGGATTCCTTCCTAGTGGCCTGGGAGGGAAGGGAAGGTGAGCAGAATCCAGAGCCCTCCTGCCCCAGGCCTGGTGGGAGATGGGCTATGGGCCACTGGCCACTGCTGCCTGGTGCGGGTACATGGTCTGGGTATGCACACAGCTGCACATACCAGGCTATGTATGAGGGTTGGGGGGCAACACTGCACAGGACACAGACACACAGAGCTCCAGGCAGCAGTGCAGGAGGTGGGCCAGGGCGGTCGGGGTAGGGAAGGACACCTCAGCAAGGCCACACGCAAGCTACCTGGGAGCAATGAAAACATGTCCTTCAGACTCAAAGCTGCTGGGGAGCAGGAACTCAAAATCTGCAACAGAAATGGGGGGTTATCTGGCGGGGGTTGGGGAGGTGGGAAGCTCAGAGCTGATGGGGCTGGAGGGCAAGGGAGAGGGCAGCTTGAGGGATGGGGAGACACCAGCAAAGAGGGAACCCGCCACTTCCACTTTTGGGTTGGAGCCAGAGAGAAGGGACAGGTCAAGGGAGGAGGGCCTGTGGAGACTACGGCATCACAGGAGGAGGGCAGTTATAGCCAATATGTTGCCCGGGCCTGGTCCTCTGTTGGCAGTGATCCCTTGGCGTGGCTGTATATGCTTCCATACGGCTGTATAGCACATATACACGGACACACACACACACATATATATACACACACTGCTATATATATGCATGGTCTGGAGTAGGCGCCAGTCTTGCTCTTATTATATCCATAATGGAAAAAAACCACATGCTGAGCTTCCTTCGCCTCCAAAGAGACTTTGAGGAAGGGAATTGGCTTTTGGCTGTGGATTTTTCTCTCTCTTTGCCACAGCTGTTTGCATTTTGGTAGCTCTTGCTTTTGTTCTGTCAGGCATCAACATGGCCAAACCGAGGGGGTTTCTCATGGGCACAGACAGTCCAACCAGAGACATGCGTGGGGAGCTGGAGGTGGACGGCAGTGCATCGTGGGGGTCTGGGGGCCCTCCCTGGGACTGGGTGCTGGTGGCACCTGTACACCTGCTTTCCTGGGAGGGAGCATGAGGAGTAAACGAGGAAGAAGTGCTGCATCTCCTCCCTTCCTAGACAGGTCTGGGCTCAGAGCAGCAGGGAGGAATGCTAGGGGTGCCTGTGGAGGGGTTCACCAATTAGGCATGTGCCCTGGGTTTATGCACATATATGAGCACAGGTGCATGAGTGTGTGTGTGCACATGTGTGTGTCTTTGGCTAGATCTGTGAGTAAATCTAAGGATGTGGCCAAAGGGCTTCACTGTGGACAGGCCACTGGGCTGGTCTGCCTCTGGGAGGGGTCCCTCTGCCCTTGGCCTTTCTCACTCTAGGCAGTCCATTATCCTAATCTATCTTTACCCAATCCCAAACTCTCTTTTGTGCAGGGGAGGGTTTTTTTCCCTGTTCTCAGATACTCCCATGATGCACTGCAAGGGTCTGAGCAGGGGAGACTTGGGATGCTTTGAGAGGCTGGGCAGTCACTGGTTGGACTGTTCCTTTCTGATAGGACTGTGAGGGAGGGTTTGTACACAAGCCAAAGGGGAAGGGGTGGGGATTAAGGAGAGAAGGAGGAGGAGAAAGAAGAAGGGGGGAGGAGCAGGGAGGGAGACTAAGCTATGGTTGCTATGGTTACCAGGGACCTGTAGTTCTGGGGTCACTAGGAGGAATGTAGGAGACCCGAAGAAAAAGACAACTCAAGCCAGTGGGAGTAGGGCACATTCTCTACCTCCACCCAGGCCAGTGAGAGTGGCTATATTCCTCTTGCTGGACTAGGCTTGACAAGGCCCCTGGTATATCTTGATGAGCTCTACCTCTAGGTCAGGAGGACATCTCTTTCTGACTCTGCATGGCTGATCTGCCCAAGCTTTCTGTGAGAGGGTGGCCCTTTCTGCACTAGTGGCAGAGACCTTTGTGTGCTGTCCCCTCTTGCCCTCATCGTTCTGTGGCTGGGGCTTACTGCTTACCTTTTTGGAAGTTCTCTGGCTTGGGCACCTCAGAGACCGAGAGCCAGAATCCTTTTCTTCACACCTAGCTTGGTTTCCTCCAAGCTCCTTTGCTTTGGGGTCCAGCTAGATCCCATTCTGTGCCTGGCTAGGTCCACAGTCCTTGAGTCTGCCTTTACCTCTCCAGGAGAACACCTTTTCCATACTTGCCAATCCTCCTCAAGGACAGTGACTACCACTCATAGGGCAGGGCCAAGAGACCCCAGCAAAGCCTGTTGGGGCAGTGGGAGCAGCAGAACACAGGAGCTTTAGCACCTAGGCCAGTGCCTAGGATGAGAGGTCAGCCTTGCTCATCCCAGTGCTTAGGATGAGGGGGCAGCCTCCTGCCTACCTCATATGCCTCTGATCTTCTGATCCTTTCTGTCTACCTTCTTAGAGGACTTCTGGTCCTTTCTGTTTCCCTTATTGGAGGGCTGCCAGCTTCTGGAGCCACTGCCAGGAATCAGAGGGTGAGCTATGCCAGAGGGAGCCTTGAAGAGGCCCCTCTGGGGGCTGATCTACCTTCTAACCCTGGATCTTGAGCCCTTGCCTTGCTGGGTAGAAGGGGGCAGGAAGGCACCCAGCCCTGCCCCCACTGTTTAGTTGTCTTGGAGGGATAGAGAAGGTAAAGCTGGGGAGGGGGAGGGGGAGGCAGAGGCCTTCCTGCAGGGAGCAAGGAGTACAAGGAAGGGGGCTGAGCCCTCAGACTCTTCAGAGAACACCCTGCAGGCAAGCCCAGGGAAAGGGCCACTGGCTTTAAAGTGGATTAGGCACGAGAGGAAAGGCAAGAACTGAGGAGCCAAGGGATGCCAGGAGGGGAGCCCTGGTGGGCAGGGGTGTGGCTGGTCCTGGGCAGGGAGGGGGGCAAGCAGGGGTGTGAGGGCAGGTGGGGTGGGGAGAGGAGGGTGCACTGGTTCTGAATATACTTGCCCTTCAGTTTGCTGATTGGCACTGGGACAGTCCACCAAGAGAGAAAGCGAGGAAAACAAAAACACAAACACAAAAACAAACGAAAAGGGGGAGGGGAAGGGGAGGGGCACAAACAATATTTTATTCAATGGCTGTTTGAATGAAAATATTGTGTCTCATCATCATACCGAAAGGAAACTTCTTGCAAAAAAACGACATGAGAGAGAAAGAGAGAGCAAGAAAACTCAAAGGAGATGAGCCCCAGTCGGCCAGGCAGGTGGGGGGCGCCCGGTGGGGCCGGAGCCCCAGCCTCCCTCCCAGTGACCTCGGGTGGGCGGTGGGTGGGCAGGCTGGGCCAGGCCCTAGACCCAGTCCTCTCCAAGAGGCCCAGGGTGAGCAGGGCATGCAGGGTGAGGCACAGGCAAAGGAATGGGAGACAGGGAGGAAGGAGGGAGGGCAAGATGGGGAGAAGGGTGAGAGGGGGAGAGACAGGGAGAGGACATGATGCGTGATGGAGAGAGGAACAGAAGCGAGGGGGGGAGAGAGAAGGGAGCAGATCAGGAGTGAAGGGGAAAGAAAAGAGGAGGATTGAGACTGAAGGGAGTGTAGGAAGTTAGGGTGCTGGGACAGGGAAAGAGGAAAGTGGGAGAGAGAGATGGAGAAAGAGAAGGGAAGGGAGAGGTAGGAGAGGGAAAGAGAGAGGAAGACAGGAGGTGGAGGTGCAGGAGGAGGGGAGAGAAGATGGAGGAAGAAGGAAAGGTGGAGGATGAAAAAGGGAGGAGTGTGTTGAAGTACAGGGAGGTCAGAAAGGGAGAGGGGCAGGAAGGGCAGAAAGAGGAAGCAAAGACCTCCTATGTGAGGGAGGGGAGGAGAGGAGAGGGAGAGCCGCCCCGGAGGTGGCACCACAGTGGAGGAAGAGCTGAGCAGGGAGCAGGGGGAGACAGGTCAGAGGAGGGGGTGTCTTTCAAGAGTGCAGCCCCCAGAGGTGTTCAGGGCAGGCAGGCTAAGGAGGGAAGACACGGAGTAGGAGAAACCAAAAACAGAAACCTCAACAGAAACCATGACAGAATGGTCTGGAACCAAATCTGAGAAAAGGCGAGCATGCAGATTTCCACAGACTTTCAAAGGCTGGAGCTCCAGCCTGCGGGCGCCTGGGGCTGGGCAGATGGGGCGGGGACTGCGCAGCAGGCTCTGCTGCCTGGGGCCGGCCAGGGTGCAGGGGCAGAGGCAGGGTGCAGGGTGCAGGCAGGGGCCAGGCCACTTACACTTGACCTGCAGAATCTGGTCACTGAGGTTAGCTTGGAGGTAGAAGGTGCTATAGGGTGGGAGCACCAGCCCCAGGCTGTGGAGGAGAAAGGGAGTACTGGTCACTGCTTGGGAGCAGTGGCCTGCACTGGCACCCCCTCCCCATGGCCACAGAGCTGGACATCAAGGCCCAGGCTGTGACAGCCTTCCTCCCCTGCCTGGCTGTGAGAAGTTCATGGCCTGGATGTCAGCACCTGGGAGACAGCAGCAGCCAAACTGTCCACTCTCCCAACTCTCCTGAAGGCCTCAAAGCAAGTCTCCTCCCCACCACCCACCCCATCCACCTCTCCCAGCTCCCCACCTGTCCCACTGCAAGCTCCCAAGGGAAGCACATTGTCAGTGAGTGAGCTCCTCATGTCCCTGGCATCTCAGAATGGATCAGTCATGTGGAGCATCAGAGACAACCTATGTTGGCTGTGCCTGACCTACAGGGAACCCTCTCTAAAGCTGTGATGCTGGTGGAAAGCAGACAGTGAAAGTGCTGTGAAGATATCTTGGGGTTGACGAGAGGCAGAGGGGTGAGGAGACATCCGCTGCACTTTCCTGTCCTCCCATGACCTGCTGTTTGGAGGATCCAGTGTCCCAGGTTGAGCAGTGAGGGGCTTGGCTGCTGGTGCCCCATGGGGTGATAGTCATAGCAGGCTGAGGTGGGAGGAGGGGCAGCTGGACTCAGATTCTGGGGCCACCCCACTCTCTGCTTGCCCAGCCCTGGGCCACTCACCTGTAGTTGGTGCTCCTTATAGGCACCCAGGTGTAGTTCCGAATCACCTCATCTATGTACCTCTGCAAGAGGAGGCTGCATCAGGTGTTGGGCTAGCAGACCCAGGTGGGTGGGGTAGGAGGTTGCCACCTCTGACTCCATGTCTCCCTCCCCTGCCTTCTTACCTCGTCCAAAGATTTGACCAACGTTCTGATCTGCTTGTGACCCTTGTTGCCATCAATCATGCTCCGCCGGATCTGGAAGGGCAGAGTTGTGACCTCCTCTACTCTCTGTGCCTGCTTCCCCAGCCCTCTTTCTAGCATTCCCCTTACCTCCTCCTTGTTCTCATCCTCCAGCTCTGCATCCAGGAAGTCCAGAGTTACAGGCTCCCGGAAATTGGTGGTCTGGGGGAGGCAGTGCAGGAAGTTAGGTTCCCATCTTAGGTGGTTTACCCACCCTCCAGGTCACCCATCTGGCTCACCTGGGGCTTGAGATTGGGGTGCAGCAACACGTAGCCATTCAGATCAATGGCAAATACATAGCCGTTGGCTCCAAGCTGGGGGTACACATTGGGAGCTCAGGGTTTGGAGGGCTGAGCAAGGATTCCCTGGGCTCTGGGACCTCTTCCCCATTCTGTCTTTCATCCTACTGAGGGGGCTGTTTACCTGCCTTGGGCCAAGGGCCCCCACCTGTCACCCAGCTCAGGCTGGCAGGCTGGGTGCCCCTCAAGGAACAGCCCTTGCCAAGGCGTTCTGCTGTCCTGAAGTTCCCATGGAACTTCAGCCAGCCTCACCTCTCCACCTCCCTGAGCCCCACAAGGCTAAGTACTGCTGGTACCGCTGCTGCACCCCCCGTACTGCTGCTCTGATTCATGCCTCCTCCTTGTCCCTAACTCAGGAGAGAGGACAGTGAGAGGAGGAGACTTCTTCAGGTGGAAGGGAAGTAGAAGTAGGACCTTGGACCTGGTCCTTACCTCTGAGGCAGTTTTCTTACTGTATTTGGGTCCCAGCCATAGGCACTGCCCTCCCAGGGCCAACCAGGGGCTTCATATAGCTCAGGCCTAAGGGTGCTGTCACACATGCCCTATTTTCCCACAGCCGAGACCCAAGCTCCCTAACCATAGGCTCTGGGCCACCATACAGCTACCCTAGCCTTTACTTGGCTCATGATTCTATTTTGCACCTTCAGGTCTTTGCCCAACAAGTTCTTTCTAACTCCAGGGTACACTTTCTCTTCTTTGTGTCCAGGACACTCCTGCCTAGGCAGATGGGCCAAGTCTGGCCTGCTGCTTGCTATTATATAGCTGTGAGCAAAGACCTTTTTTTCTCCTTGTGGTATTGAGGATGGAAGCCAGGGCTATGACACATGCTAGTCAAGTGTTCTGCCATTTTTATTTATTTTTTGGTACCAAGGATCGAACTCAGGACCTTGTGCTTGTGAGGCAGGTGTGGTGCCACTCAGCTAAATCCCCGGCCCTGTCCTTTTTTATTTTGAGACAGGATTTCACTAAGTTATCCAGACTGGCTTTAAACTTGCCATTATACTGCCTCAGCCTCCTGAATAGCTGGGATTACAAGTGCGCACCACCACATCCAGCTCTAAGAATGGCTTTGTTTTTAAGTAGTTAAAAAAGAAAAGATAAAGGAAGAATTCTATTTCATGACATGTGAAAATGATATGAAATTCAAATAACAGTATTCAGAAATAAAACTATATAGGAACATAATTATACCTGTGTGTTTATGTTTTGTCTGTGGCTGCTTTTACAACACAAAAGCAAAGTATAAAATGTACATTAGGCTGGCAAGGCCTAAAATATTCACAGCTTGGCCCTTTAGAGAAAGTCTGCCACACCAGCTCTAGGGCCAAGGCTACCTCCTTAGGAAGCCCTCCCTGACTCCTTAAACTAAGAGGTCGGCATGGAGGTGCTATGAACCCCATCAGTCCCTTTGGCTGAGCCTGGTTTGTATCCACATGGGAGGCAGAGCAGGGCAGATAGGTGGACACGCACCGTGTAGTTGGGAGTTAGCTTCTTGATGTCGTTCAGAGCCACATCGATGCCCATCACACCCAGGATCAGCTGGTTCTGGGAGAAGACACATGGAGGGGTCTGTAATGGGCTCAATTCCATGAGGGAGGTCCCCTGCCCAGGCCCCATACTCAAGGCCTCAAGTTGCTCTCATAGGCCCCATCCCTCCTCCATCCCCAGACCTGTGATGGGAGTATCCAACCCTTCCCAGGCATGCCCAACCCTCTACCAGTGGGGACCTCACCTTCTTTTCCCCAGGGCCATCTTGCGTCAGGTTGAAAACAGGGAGGGTCCCTGTTACCACCAACCCCAGCCCCTGAAGGAAAAGGAGGAGGATGGGGTCTCCTATGGCCAGTTCTAGCCTCACCCTGAGTGCTTAGAGCAGGAGTCCAGGTGCAGGTCATGTTTCTTTCTCCTCTGCTTGGTTAACCCCAGAAGTAGGTATTCAAGGGTCTTGACCCTGGGGGCATGTCTGTGGGGGAAGGTGACCAGCCCCTTTCCTCTCACAGAGGCCTTACCAGTGCATCCTCATAGACGTTGGTCCATTGCACCTGCTTGGCTTCCTTTCCTGCCAGCACCATGGGCCTGCCCAACACGTCTAGATACTCCTGGAGAGGGAGGGGGCAGCAGGGGTCATTAATGCTCTCCTAACTCTCTTCTGCTTCTCTGTGCTTTGGGATTGTGCCATAGCCACCACCAGAGGGCACTAAGCCCACAGCAGCCCAGAGGGACCGGACCCAATGGACAGCAGGGAGTGAAGGGGAGTGAAGGGCTGGGAGACACAGGCCGCCCACAACCTCACCTGCGTGTTGATGCGGATGGCTCCAATGGAAGGAATCTCAAAATAGTAACCTGGGAAGGGAGGGGAGGCAGAGGTGGGCTTTGCTGGCACTGTGGGGACTCATAGCACGGGGTCCCGCTCCACGGGGTAGTTATGCAGTCCCAATTTGCTTCTTAGACTCCCTCTCTCTTTGGTGTCCCTTCCCCCAAACTCATATACCTCTGTGCTTCCTACCATTGTCTTGTTCCTAGAGCCAATGCTACAGAAGAGGACCAAGAGTTGGGGGCAAAGATGTGAAGGAAGGCTGAGGAAGATGATACCATCTCATTCTAGGATAGCATCAACATTCAGAGTCCACCCAGCACCCAGGCCCAAGTGTACAGAGAGGGATTGATTGGCAAACATGCAGAAGTAGACAATCTGGTAGACAGATGGACAATGGACAGACAGTCAGATGGGCAAAAGATGCTCAAAAGATGCTCAGTCAGATGGACAAGTCAGACAGCCCAGCAGATAGCCCACGGACACCCACACATATGGAAAGATAGACTGTAAACAGACAACTGGCCATTTGGATGGACAGCAGGCAGCAGATCCTGGCAACCCTAGCACTACATCAGAAGAGGTACCTTTGTTGGTGCAGGCCATCCACTGCAGGGGAGTGACATCATAGTTATGCTGCCCCACAGAGAAGGTGAAGACACGTACCTGTGGGGGGTTGAGGTTACTGCTGTAGCCACTTGAGGACAGCTCTCCCCGGTCCTGGACCTAGATCAGGGCAACCCCCACCAGAGCTCGGCCTCACCGTCCGATTGGGCCAGTTGTACTTCTCGAAGACATCCTGCACACGGTCCTCGCCACCATCCGTGAACATCATGATCATTTTATTGCAGTTGGCCCGAGTGATGTTGGACTGTGCATGGGCAAGTGTGGAGTCAGATGGCTCTCAGTCTCTGCCACCTGGGGGCAGTGCTTCCTTCCCCTGGCAGGTCTGGCCCTCTTGTGCCCATCCCCCTCCCCCAGCAGATGGTGCTATGTGTCCATGCTGCCTTTTTGGTGCTAACAAGGCCATCAGTCTTGATTTCCCTGTGTCACCAAGCCTGGCCCTCGCCCGCCCCTGTCCACCCATTCGTCCACCCATGGGGCTTACGTTCTGCAGCTGGTCAAAGGCATACTCAAAGCCAGCCTTGTAGCCTGTGGTGCCCTTGGCCACCATGCCCTGCACGGCTTCCTTGAACACCTTCTTGTTACGCACATTGGCCTGCACCAGGTGTGTGAAGCAAGATACAGGCTGTGCCTTCTCATTGAACTGCAGGGACAGTGAAGTGGTGAGTGGCCTCAGGCTGGCCAGAGTAGACAGCTGGTGCACAGGTCTAGTGGTGGTCATAGGAGCAGGGCAAGTGGGGGTGTCTAGTTCCCCACCTGCCTTCATCCTGGCACTCACCGAGGCCACGTTCACATAGTCGTCATCAGAGAGTGTGTCCAGCATCTCGCAGACAGATGTCTTCATTAGTTTCAGTGTCAGGCCACTCACACTGCCACTCCTGGAGAGGTCAGGCACGGGCCATTGGGGGCCTTAGGTATTCTCTTGCCCTTCCCCAAAGAGGTTCTAAGGCAGCAGAGTATGGCCCCAGCCCTGTCCCAGCCCCGCCTGCCAGCATTGCTCACTTACACATCAACGATGATGACCATGTCCTTAGGCGACGAGGCCCCCTGGATATACCTGCCCAGGAGAAGCTCATGGGTCCCAGCCCACTAGGACCTCCCTGGTGGGCCAGTCCCAGAGTGATTCACATATTTCTATTGAGCATCCACTGCATGGACCACACAGGGTTCAGGCACTGGGGAGACCACGTTTAATAAAACAGGCAGTCCCAGCCCACCACATAAGTGATCTGCTCCCTCAGCAAGTAAACAACCCCAAGGGGTGGGTGAGCAGGTGGTCCTCTGACTGAAGGGCTTTCTGTATCCTCTGCCCCAGGTGGAGGATAAAGGGCAGAGTATAGTATGGGATGGAGCAGGGAAAGAAAGTCCTGTAGTACTGCAGGACAGGCAGAGCAGAGAGTGGGAATCTCTAGTGGTCCAGTGGGTGGAGGTACATCCACTTTGGGAACACTCCCACTGGTCTGCTTTCTCAGTTCCAAGAGGTGGGGGTACTGGGTGATGGAAAGGGGCAGCAGCAGCTGGGAGGGCTGCCTGGGTGATGGGATCCATTTTCCAGTGGCAACGATGTGTGAAATGAAAATTGGATAGAGCTGGCTGCGCCCTGCTTGGAGGCCTGGATATTGGGAAGGAGGGGAGAGGCACAAGCAGGGAGCTGAGGAGGTGTCCCTGCCTAGCCCCTCTCTGCTCGCTCACCAAGGTCTCCGTCGGACATCATACAGGTCAATCTTCTTAGGGGCTCGCCAGGGGGTGGCTGTGGGAGGAGAAAGGGTGACAGGACTGGCAGAAAAAGGCCTGATTCAGCCAGACAGGCCTTTCAGGAACAGCCACTCCACCCAGGGCACCCCATGATGGGTGGCTAGGGGATGAAGCAACGTGGGATGGTGGATGGACAGGGAAGATGGGCTGGCACCTGCCTGGATAGTAGCGGGTGACTCCAGTGGCACTGCCGAAGACCTGCCACAGCAGTGTGGGGTCCTGCCTGCGGTTCTCAATGAATACGTTCTCCAGGGCTTCTGTCCAGTTGAGCTCATTGAGAATAACAGTGGCTGGGGTTGGGGGAGGAAGAAAGCTAGGCTGGGACGGCCTGGCCTGTCTCCTGCCTTACCTATCACCATGATATTCATGTCCAAGCCCCCCCACTCAGAAGGCCTACCTGCTCTGTCCAGACTTTCCCTCATTTCTGAGGGCCCAGCTAGGCTTGTACCAGCTCCACCAGGAAGATTCCTGGTCCTCACCCTTTCAAGCTATTGAAAGAACAGCTCAGCCTACCCCTTGGCTGGGCTCCACATGAGCAGGCAAGGGCAGCTGTGGCCAGTGGCTTCTGGAGAGGGGCTGCCCAGGAGGCAGGAAGTGTGAGCTGGGCCCCCCATCCAACAAAATGCTTGGAGCTTGAGGCTGATCCCAGGGGAACTCACCCACTCAGCATGCACTCCAGGCTGCAGCCACAAGAAAGCAATTAAGGGCCCGCTGATGGGGCTGGAATTATTCAGCTATTAAGGTACCTGATAAGCTGGAAGCCACTCAGCTCCATGATTAATCAACTGGGGCCAGGAGCAGGCAGGGGCAGAAGTGGGGGCTGCTGGAGGGGCAGAGGTGGAGCTGGGATGCTGCTACAACACAGGCACGTGCACTTGCACATACACGCACATGAGCAGCCTCTACTCCCAGGAGGTATACTTGCATCTGACCTCTGTTTCCAGCCAGATGTGTGACACCCTCACTCCTGGCAACCCGACTGCTGCATGGGCACAGGGGCTCACACCTACATGCCCTTCTGCATCTACAGAAATCACCAGTGGGGCCTGCTCTCACAGTCCCCATTATCTGTTACCTCACCTTCCATCCCCCAACCCCTGTGGTGATACATGCATGATCCCTTGGCCAGGGCTACTCCTCCTCCCCTCTCAGGGTAAGGTTCCACTCAGATAACTGGACTCCACCCTGCTGGTCCTTCAAACGGGCAGCCCTAAGTGTGCCCTGTGTGTATGTGCCACATATTACATTGTGCAGTGTCTCATCAGAAAAAAACAGGAGTGGGACACCTGCTTCTGTCAGGCTCATCCCTCCCCAGGGGCCCCTATTTCCTCCCTCCCAGTTTCTTCCCCCCACTGGAATCCTGCCCATCAAGTGAGAACCAGAGGGGGACTGGCAATGGCTTTGTTCTTTTCAGAACAGATGGGGTTGTGATTTAAATTGCTCAGAGTTCCACTGAGGCCCAGGGGTCTGAACCCACCCTCCCCTTTGCTCTCCCTGAAGTGAGAGATCCACTGTGTCCTGTGCCCTAACTTCTCCCCCTCTGCTCTCGCCCCCCATCTCTGTACCAGTGGCTCCCTGCAATTGGCCATAATGTGAAAACAGAACACATTTCTAGCATTGGCTCTGCCTATTGAACACTACGTTATAGTCCTGTTCTTGATGTAGAAACTTAGTGAATTGAACAATATCTATTTTTCTCTTTAAGAAAAATAAAGTCAGCCCCTCAGTGTTTCATGCAGTGCTGTCTGCCCTGAGCCTGCTGACATGCCCACCCGTCACTGGCCTTGGTCTTCCCCTATGGGACACTCTGGCTGGGGTGTCCCTGGCTCAGGTCAAGAACCACAGGAAGACTCCTGCTCTGGGTGGGATGTCCCTGGAGGTATCTGTTACCACAAACACACACACACACACACACACACACACACACACACACACACACACGTACGTGTAAACATCTGCTCCACCAAAAGGGCCTGCCACCCCACCCCATGCACATACCCACACCCATGTACACACAACCTCTGATCATGCTGAGCTGGGAAGCGGGGACTATGCCCCCTCAGGCAGGCGATTACAGATTTAATTAAAAGTGACACAGTAAATAAAAAACATATAAAATGTAATTTGTGTGGGTAGTGAGGGGTGACTGGGGAGGGCGGTGTGGCTCCTGTTTTAATTAGCGTGCCTGCCTATGATAGTGTCCCTCGGCTGGCTCTGGGCAGGTGGCCTGAGGGCAGCCTGTTGGGGGCAGGGAAGAGCATCCTTCCCTATGTCCCCTGATGCTGCCCAGAAGGCCTATTTGACCCTGAGAGTGGAGGGGGACCCTGGAGGATTCCCTGTACTCTCAAGCCAAAGCAATACATTTGCCCTAAGCTTCCCAGACCAGTGGGCCCCTCGAATTCTGAGGCTACCCTGTAGGTGCCCAGAGGACTGTATAAGAACCAATAGGCCCAAGTGCCTTAAATCCTGCTGTTCAAGCTCCTCATCATGTTTGACTCTTGGCCTCTTCTCACTATACCTCCCAAGATACTCAGGATGTTCCTCTTCATATCTGATTCAAATTCTTCCAGCTGTACCAACATGATTTCTCCATTGTGCAAAGCTGCCTGTGATGGGGCTTGGAATCTCAACCACCTTCTTCTCAATCCTTTTCCCTGTGTTCCCTCCCCCTGGCTGCTTGGAGCTAGAAACCATCACACCATATCTTTGTGAATGAGGAGTGGTTTCCTTTCCTCTAGTTCTTTTATCTAACTCAGGTAGCTTTTCAGCTACTCCTAATGGGGCCAGGGAATAGGGGAGTGTGGTGAGGAGCTGCTTTGGGAGACACAGCCCTGCATGTGGGGAAATTGTGTGTGTGTGTGTGTGTGTGTGTGCATGTGCATATATGCACTTGTGTGGGCCTATGTGCCCACACGGGCTGGAGATCATGTATGCACAGGTAGGAGGCTTAGTGTTTTGCAGTCTGCAGAGAGTTTGCAGAAAGCTCTGCCTGTGAGTGGCTGGATGCCTGCATGTGGGTGAGTCTGAGAGGTGAGCATGTGTGACCTCAGGTGTAGGGACTGCAGGTAGATGGGATTGAGAATGTCTGGACAGAGGCCCTTGTCCCCAGGACAGGTGAGAAGGACCGGCCGAATTTCATGACACACTCACAGCCTTTGTAGATGTCTGTGGGGATCTGCACAGCCGTGTATGAATAGTTGACCTTGTTCTTGAAGTTTAGGTCCTCGATGAAGTCCAGCCTTAGGGTGCTGCTTTTGGACCCTCTCTCCACATCCTCACCCTCAGGGTCATCCTGCAGAAAACACCCCCCCCCGCCCCGCCCCAGCAGTGTCAGGGGTGGAAAATGGTTAGTAGGTTGGACAGGCCTGCAGGCAGAGGCAGGGAGGGCCAGAGTCCAGGAAACAGGAGCATCCCAAGGACAGAGACTTTTTTTTTGGTACTAGGGATCAAGGGGCCTTGTGCTTGCAAGGCAGGGGTGGCACCACTGAGCTAAATCCCTGGCCCAAGGACAGAGACTATTGCAAAGACAAGGAGAGATAGATGGTGAGATACAGGGGCAGATGGACATAGGGGATGGACTCCTCACCCGACCTTCCTTCACTGGTCAAACCCAAATTCTAAAGCCAAAACCAAACTGACCCCTTCCCGACATCCTTGAAAAACCAATTATCAGTGAAGGAGGCAAATAATGAAGCAAGTCAGAGGAACAGGCTGTAGACTTTTGCTTACAAGGATGTGACTTGTGCAATCACAGGGAGGCCTCCATAGCCCCTCCTAGAAGCTCTGCACCCCCACACTCCCCACTGGGTTCTGCCCACCTCCTGCATGGAGTCCCTTTGGCACTAGGAAGAGGGCCCTAGTCCCACTTGGGATAGGGACAACACTCCCTGCATCACAGTAGCTCTAGGTGCTGAGCTGGGGAGGCCAACTCCAGGGAGAGCTGAGCTGGGTAGGGCATAGCATTGAGACCTGGTGTCTCTAGAAGGAGGGTCTGCCATGCCTGCTACCAGCAGGACTATAAGGACCCCTGTTGATTTTCTAAAATGAGCCGCAGTCGCCTGACAGATGCCAATTATGGCATCTTGTGGCTAGGCAGGCTAGGCATGTGCCGTGTGCCCCCACCCACCACCACAGGCTGGCAGGAGTGGGTCTGTAACTAGTGTTGATGCTGAAGCTCAGGGTGGGGAGGCTTGGCTGCAGGTGTGTAAAGGGGACGGTGGAGATAGAGAGTGAAAGCAAAGAGAGGGAAAAGCCAAACAGGGAGGCAAGGGAGAGATGGAGACTGAGGCAGGGAAGGGAGAAGAACTGGGGGCTTTGTGCCCTGGGAGGAAAGAGCAGTCAAACCTCTCCCCCACCCCTATCCCTGTGGTCAGCCTCTCCTCAGGCTCAGCTCATGTCTTCACCCTCCCCTGCTCCATGCTCATGGTGTCCTGGGCATGGCTGTCTTGTGAGTTCTCCCTCTGTGTCTGCCCAGGCTGTGTCTGATCTGGAGAGAGGATGACTGTGCCTCTCCACACAACCAGGTGTGGAGACACTATGCTGAAGCACCCTTTTCATCTCTTCAGGGTGGGTTTTATTTTATTTTTAGAGTGGCAGGGATTGAACTTAGGCCCTCCTTGCACATGGTAGGCAGGCACTCTACCACTGAGCTACATCTTCAGCCCCTTCAGATAGATTTTGTACAGCAAAATTCTGGCTGTTCTACAGTCCTCTCATTCCTCCCCATCCAGTATGTTACACTCTGCCTACTCAGAGGGGACCCTCAGAAGCCCCTGGTGGAGGTAAAGTGAGGGCAGGCAGCTGCTGAGCACCCAGAGTGAGGGGCCAGTGGTCTGTGAGGCATGCAGCACTCACATTCCACTCAGGGGAGGGGGAAACTCAGGAAAAGAAAGCCCCCGAAATGTCAGTGGCAGATGAAGGGCGCTGGAAAATTTAATCTCCCAACTTTCCCAACTAATGTGACATTTGGATTCTGTTCTGATAAGCTATCGGCTGGCAAACTTTTTCCTTTCTTCTCTTTCCCCCACCCCCACCTTCTGGCTGGTAATTTAAAAGTAAATGGTCTAGAAAGATCTCTAACTGTACCTCTGGCAAAGATTAAAAAAACAAAACAACACAACAAAGCAGGGGAGTCAGCAAACGTGTACATGCTGTTATTTATGCCAGGCTCTAGCTGTCACAGCCAGCCCTGCCCCAGTGTATCTCCTGGATTGGGTGGGCCCTAGCAGATGGCCAAGCGGTTGGGGCAGAGAGTCAGTAGTTTAGAGTCATGGAACAGAGTACTGGATTGGGGGCTGCTGGGAGCAGGGAGTAAAAAGTGTCCTGGTTGGGGGTGGGCTACCAGGCTGGCCATGGAGCCCCTCAGGGTCACCCCCGAGGCCAGGGGCTTTGTTCGATGGGCCACTGCTGTCTTCTGGTGTATATTTAATGTACTGATTGCTAAAATTACAGCTTGCTGCCGAGGGGGGTAAGGAATTAGATTCAGGGTCTAATTAAAGGTTTGCTCTTCATTTGAATTTCAGATTCCAGCTTTAATTTTAGCAACTTCTCCGGGAGCCACAGAGCTCAGCCAAGGGGAAGCACACCTGCTTGAGCCCACCCGCCTTCTCGGCCCCTGCCCTCCCTATGGCTCTTCTGGTGACTTGCAATCTCTGACCCTGGTCAGGGATCCTTTCTGGCTTTCCCCTTGTTTGTGTCGTAAGATACCTTCAGCTCACCACAGGAAAGCCCCCAAGCCTATAGGCCTAGGAGAGGAAGACTGGATCTTAGGTCTTTTGCAAAAGCCAGAATCGGTGGGTCCCCAGAGACTGTACCACTATGATGCCTCTGTTTACATAGGGGACAGCTGGGTCCAACTACTTTGCCTTGAAGTCAGGCAGATGGACTTGGGCCTTTACAAGTCCAGCAAATCTTGTCTACTCCAAGTGCCAGCACCCTTAGACCCTCTTGTCTTTTCTGTAGCCACCTCCTCCTCATGGTCATATATCTTTCACTGAGTCCTTTGGTGATGGGGACCTCAGTACCTCCCTGGAAGCCCAAGTAGACCTGAGCTACTAAGTCACACAGTGAGAGACACCAAAGCAGGAAAGCAGTGTGGCTCAGTCCCAGTGCCACCACTTCCGAGGGAGATGATCCCAGCTGAGCTGAGCCTCATCTGAAGAATGAGTGAGGAACTGGGCTGCCTCTTTAGCTGGGGCAATACAACTGAGCTCAGAGCCAAGCACTGACCACAGGACTAGGTGGTGGGGTGCTTAGCATACCAATACTGTGCTTGTCTCATCACAGGGAAGGGAGTCTTCTCTGGCTTGGAGAGGCACCTAAATGTGTACCTGCTACCCAACCCGCTCATCTCTCCACTGCCTCTGCTCTCCCTACTCTCATGGAACCCAGCTCCTCTCCATACTGGGGCTTGAAGTGCCCTGCATGGGGAGGCTCAAGTGCCTTGTCATCCTGCCTAGGGAAGGAACCTCACCTGCCACACAGTTCTGTGAAGCCCAGGTTATTTGAGGCCACAGAGACAAAGTACTGGAGGCTTTGGGACTTCTAGGGAGTTGTAGAGGTGGGGAACAGGGCCTGTGTCACACAACTTTGTAGGGTTGATCTCAGAATGCTGAGCGCCGAGTCTTGACATCCATTTTATAGCTGAGAATACTGAGGCCCAGAAGAGGGTATGTGGCTCTGGTAGCTTAGGTAGGGGCACTTACCAGTTCAGCATCAGCCTTGGCATCATAGTACATGATGTCTTCCTCCTGGTGAAGGGAGAAAGGCCTTAGCACCCATAGTTCAAGGGCTCCTGAGACACAGCCAGGACCCCCAAGGCCTGGGACAGGCCCCTCAGAGTCCTCTGGGACAGAGATTGCCCCCTTTTCCCATCTAGAGCTGTTCTCCTGGAAAAGCTGGATGAGTAGGTGCTGGTGGTTCCCCACCCCAATCCTGGCCAGACCAGTCTTGGGATGAGGGGCCCTATGTGGCAGCCCTGCTGAGAGGAAGGGTCAGAGCCCAGCCTGACTGCAGAGATGCTGCTGAGGCAGGATGGGGAGTGAGGGAGATGGAAAAACAGAGCTGAGCTTGGGCAAGAGTGAAATAATGACTTGACGCCGCATCTTCCAATTTCTTCTATTAAAAAGGCTGCTCATTACAGGCATGTACTTATTAATTATCTGTGATTTGTTGTGAAATGCAAAGGGTTTACACAACAGGAGCAGGAGAAAACAAAGCCTGGCCCACACGCCTGCCTCCTGGCCCTGCCTGCTTGTGCCCACCAGTCCTCATGGCCTGTGCCTGCTGCCTGGGTTCCTGGCCATCTGCGCGTCATAATCACTGGCTGCCCTGGGGACCCATAACACAAATGGGCTAATTTCATGTTTAATGATCTTTAATCAGAACTGAGCGTGGCTGACAGAGGCCGCCAGAAGGTGAACCTGGTGTCAGCAAGTGCCACCTGCTCAGGAGGGGCCACCCAACCCTGCCCTAATGGGCTCAAGGGCCAGGGCTCCTGTCCAAATCACCCTCCCTAGGTGCACTTCAGCCCTGTTTTATACAGCGAAATCCTGCATCATGAGCCCTCACTCAGGGCAGCCCCTCCATTCCTTTCTAGTACTTTACTTAGGTTTTCTTTGTTTTATTTTGTTTTGTTTTTGAGACAGAGTCTCGCCATGTAGTTAAGGCTGGTCTTGAACTCATTATGTAGCCCAGGCTGGCCTCGAACTTGCAGCAATCCTCCTGGCTCAGCTTCCTGAGTGCTGGGATTACAGGCATGTGCCACCACACCTGGCTGTATTTAGGCTTGGACCCTAGAATTTTACACTGAGCTACATCCTCAGCCTTTTAATTTTTTTTTTTTTGGTACCAGGGATCAAACTTGGGTCCTTGCCTTTTAAATTAAAAAAAAATTTATAATTTTTTTGACATGGAAAACTAATTATATGGGCAGGGGATTTAGCTCAGTGGTTCCAGCGCCTGCCTCGAAAGCACAAGGTCCTGAGTTTGATCCCTGGTATCAAAAAAAAAAATAAATAAAAGAAAACTAATTACATGGAATAAGTTTATTAACAATATAATAAATTTAATAGAGTTGACTTAATTCTGCTCAGGAAACTAAGTTTTCCAATGGAAGAATAAATTTAGAATATATCATTTTTTAAAAAAATTTTTACAATTTTGAGACAGGGTCTTGCTAAGTGGCTAAGTTGTCCAGGCTGGGGTCAAAATTTAGATTCTCTTGCTTCAGCCTCCCAGAGTGCTAGAATTATAGCCATGTGCCACCAAGGCCAACTGGGGCTGTTTCTTTGTGGGCTGCAGATGGGAGTGGCAAACAAGGTAGCATCCTGCTATAAGGCAGCAGGCATGGAGCCAGCACTTACTCCACAGGGGCGGAAGTCACCTTGGCCAACCCCTGCCCAATGCCTGGCTGGGGCTCACCAGCTGTGTGATCCTAGGGCAGGACCATTCCCTTTCTACTCCCTGGGCTCTTCATACCTCCAGGGGAGGTTTTGGCCTTGGTGACTGTCCAAGTCCTGGGTCTGTGCTATAGCCTGAGGGAGCCAGTACTGGGGAATGTTCTGGTGAACAGCCTAGTCTGTCTCCCACCAGTCTTTGGAGGTGCATGCTACTGAGCAGACATGTAGCCTTGGTCCAAGCATTCTAGAACAGTGTATACCTGGCACCATGCTTGGGCACAACCACAACCTCCCAAAGAAGAGCTTCCAGAGTCTGCAGCACTTGCTATGTCTGTCACTTCCTCACAACAGCCCTGTGACACCAACACAGAGATGACATCAGGGAAGAGTGAGGAAGGCTTTGTCCCCTGGCTCTGACCTGTCCTCCTAACTCCTCTCCAACCTCACCTGTTCATGCCACCCAGCCATCTGTCTAGGGAGACTGGGACCAGGTAGACCTACAGGGGGCTGGAGTAGGGGCTCAGGTTCTGGGGTGCTCAGCTTTTCCCTGTGCAGGTTCCGAATGAAGCACATAATGAAAGCTGACACTACATCAAACACAATAAGGAGTTTCGGTTGATGAAGATCATTCCTGAACACACAAACCCATTAAACTGAAGGAAAAAATATCAATTCAACACACTCACAGGGGAAAAGAAAATTTGATTTGTTATCTAAAAGGGGGTTATAAACATGGCTCTGATGCTCTTTCCCTTCGTAATGAAAACAGACAGGCATGGTGGGAGGACTGCAGATTGCAGCCTGGTGCTTTATGCACCAACTTTTTAGGCAAAGCTTTTGCAAGGACACGAAAGGGCATGGGTGGAGGCTGCTCACTCTCAGGCCCTCAGGATCCCTGGGTTCCCCTCTTGGGCTTGGGTGAGACCTGCCCATGCCTGGGTCATCCCTGGAATGCTTTGGAACTCACTTGGGTCCCCTGTCCAGCTGCTCCAGTGGCTTCATTTTTCTGTCTGTCCTACTGTTTCACAGTTTGAGTGAAAGATCAGGTGTTGGCGGCATTGGAGACACAGGGGAGAAATGTTATAAAGGATTCTCAGCCTCCTGCAGACTTCGGGCAAAGCTCAGGGATCTGTATGTCACCCGTCCACCTTGGGCTTGGTGTATGTGGGCAGGACTCATTTCACCCATCTTGCTTTGAGGAGGGTCAGGCCATCCCTTTTCCTTGGCAGGGAGGAGCGGTAGCCAGTGGTGGACAAGGTCATGAAAGAAAATACTTTGTAAACACAGCTGTGATTGCTGTGCGCAATGTGGTATGAGTTGGGAGTGTGGCGGGACAGGGCAGCAGGCTAGGGTAGAGGGTCTCTGGGGAGCCTCTGTGCCTGCTTTGGCTTGCATAGTGCCCAAATGTCCACATCAGTGTCTTGCTTCCTGGTTACACACCAAGAAGGTAGTACTATGTAGTGAATCAGCACAGTGGGCTTGACAAAGGGTCCTGGGTTGAAATTCTGACCCAGATACCTGTGAGCTCTGAGCAGGGAGTAAAAACTGAGGCTCTGCCTCCCAGCCTCCAGGCCTGGTCACATGAAGACTCCTGGGAACCAACCCCATCTCACCAATAAGGCAAGGATAACTGATTAATTGTGCAGACTCAGTGACCTTACTCCAGTCTCAATTTCCCACTTACAAATCAAGATGATGATGTCTCCTGTGAGGGCATGAAGAGGACAGGGAACTGCAGAGAAGCCTCATGAAGGGGCAGGATCCAGCCCACCCACGATGGACTTTCATGTAACTCCACAGCCTGCAGGAGGAGCTGAATGTGGAAAAGACCCCAGGATGGAGCAAAATGGGTGTCCTTAAAGCCTGAGGTCTACACTACTGAACTCTCACCCTGATATTTTAGGGGCTACTTTTCTCAAACTAGGCAAGAGTGGAGGAATTACCCCACCCCAGCTATACACATGACCTGCGACATGGACCTGTTCACATACATGACAGGCTGGGTGCACACCTGAGTACATGACCCAAGTACTCCTTAGCAGGAGCCAAGCCCAAGAGACACAAGGGAAAGGGTGAGGAAGGGAGCTCAGGGTGAGCGGGGGAGTAACAGTTGTTGTCCAGATTTGGCACTTGCACAGTGACTGCCAAGGCTGGCCAGACACGACAACCACTCCCTACCAGCCCCTGTGTAAGGCCCAGGCTGGCCACTTGCCTGCACGAGTGCGGACACTTAGCCTGCCTGGCTTGGCCCACTGCCAGCTCAGCTCAGCCAAGAGGACTGTTTTCTGAGAGAGCCGTCTGTCGCTGGCTTGGCAGAGAAGCAGGCAGTGGGCCCTATGGGTGGGTCAAACCCTCAGGCCAGGGAGGCCACCTGTCCTGGCCAGCCGGCTCTTCCACTTGCCCATGCCTTTACAGCCCTCTTTCTAGATCCCCTAGGCAGAGCTTCAGATTCCCCCTTCAAACTCCACAGGGCAGGGCTATTTCCTCTATTAAGACTCCTAGAGAATGGTTTTGTCTCCTATTGTAGGTCTTGGTGTTGGCACTGAGGCCTTGGGACCAATAGCTTCTCCTCTCTCCCCCACCCACACCTAGCCCAGCTCCTCCCTGGGGGCAGTTTAGGTGGCACACAATGCTGGCGTGGTATAAAATTGGCACTGAGTACTGTCCAGTAGGTGGCCCATCTTCATCTACCCTAAGTGTTATAGGTCTGTCTGTCTGCAGGGCTGTGAGGGTGCTCCCTGCTAATCAGAGTCATGGTTTCTGTAGCACACAATAGTCTAAGACTGTGGCTACAGGTTATGTGCCTCTACCATGGCAAGGGTGTGAGGATATGCCTGGGATCAGGGATGGGGGGAGGAGCTTTTACACTCAGATGTTGTCCCCTCGATCTTATCCCAGCTCTGACCTGCAGATGCCAGGATCTCTAAAGTCCTGGCTGGTGTCAGTGGGGCTGTGTGTGTGTGTGAATGCATATTTGAATATGCATGAGGAGTGTGAATTCACACCTCAGAGGTATGAATGCATACTTGCTGTATGTTGTGCACCCTACTCATTGTGCCATGAATTCTAGTCTGGCCCCATGAGCCAAGGGCCCTTTCTGTGCCCAGAACTGCTGGGTGCCACCCCCCCCCAACAGGTAAGAAGACCATTCCTGCTCACTCTGTTAACAGGGTACCAGACTGGGCACATGGATAGGTGGTGGACAGTACTGGATCAGGCCTGATTACTCCTGATCTTGAGGAGCTCAAGTGGGGCAAACAGATGAGACACTGCCTGGGTTACTGCACTGGGCACTATCTGTGACAGAGGCACCAAAGGGGACAATGGAGGCAGTGGGGGCTGATGCTAGGGATGGGACTATAAATGGGGTCCTGGGCTTTGCCTTTTACAGAAGGGTAAGAGCATTCTGGAGAAGGCCTGTCTGGGGAAGGGCCTGTGTTTAAGGCTAGAATTGTGGTACAGGCTAGATGTCACATGTCTGGGGAGTGGGGAGAAACATGGTTCCTTGTCTGTCATCTCAAGGTCACTAGGAAGGACATGATCTCAGAGGTGAGTGGTGTGCCTGCAAGGGACAAAACAGCATCCTTTCCCCAGCCTCTATCCCTGCACCCCCTGGCAGGGATGGCCCCCACTGGCAGCTCTGCTGCCTGCTCTCCCTCCCTGGCAGCCAGGCAGCGCTGGCTGCTGGCAGCTAATGGACCCCATCAGCACTAATGCCTTGCAGCCTGGCTGACATGGCCATAGCAGAGCTTCCTGGAAGCAACAGTGACCCTGCAGTTGGTAGGGAGCATTGACTACTGCTCCCTGCTCTGAGTATCTTAGGCAATAGGATGAACAAAAAGTCAGGTAAACTGATAGATTGGAGTGGGGAGAGCGGGGAGTGTCAGGCCAACCAGCTGTGTGTGTGTGTGTGTGTGTGTGTGTGTGCGCGCGCGCGCGCGGTTTGCAGTGTTGGTGCTGTCTGTGGTCACTCCATAGCTGCAGTACCTCTGGTCCAGCTGGGGACAATGGGGCAGCTAGAGTCTACTCCTGTCTCATCTCAAGATAGAAGCATCAGGGCTCAAGGGCAGGTATAGCCAGAGATGCACCAAGACATCACCAACTAGGCATCATATGCCTGGCGTGTGACCCCTTTCACACACCATATCTAAGCTGACAGGCAGCACAAATGCCACCCAGTCCTGTGCCACATGGAGACAATGAAGCCTTGGGGACTGTGACTCAGTGTGCAGGAGTGAGGCTCTTGAGTAGCACCTCTTGGCACCACCTGGGAGTCCCTGAGCCCCAGCCCTCCTTCCTGCCCATCCTGGACTGGAATAAGCTGTTCCTGCCTCAGGAAATGGCTATAATTCAGGGGCTAGGGGCTTCAGAAGAGCCCTAGGAAATCATGGGTTTTCTACATGTAGTATCTTCATCTCCCTGTTTGGGGCCTGGACTGGTAGAGAGAGAAAGTCAAGTAGTGAGCAGGTTTTTTCATTCCCTTACTCCCTGATGCTTGTGTCTGCTCCATGTGCCCGTCTAGGGAACAGTGGTGGTGGGAGAATGGTCAAGAAGAAATAAGGGGACTGAGCAGGAGCTGAAGGTCTTGGATGGCCAGAGGACAGAGGAGCTGATAGGCTGGGGAGAGAGAGTAGCTTCACAGAGAAGGGATGATCTGGGCCTCCAGGAGAAATGGAGGGTGCTTCAGAGAGGGAGACAAGGAGAGGCAGAGGGGAGAGAGGGGAAGAGGGAGAGGGGTGGCAGAGGCAGAGGGAGAGGGGGAGAGGCAGGGATGGAAAAAGAGAGAGAGGGAGAGAGAGAGAGAGAGGGAGAGAGAGAGAGGGAGAGAGATATCAGCATGAGCAAAGGCTCAAGGGCAGGAAGAGGCTTGGAGTGATGTTCAGTGTAGAGGAACACAAGAGAAGGGGGCCAGGAAGTGAGGCTAGACAGGGAGGCAGGAACGGCAAGGTCCTGATTTTTGAGCATAGCTCAGGCCTGGGCCTTGCATGTGGAGCTGCCAGGGAGGGGTTATCTGGAGGTGGCAATATGGTCTGAACAGTAAGTGAGAACCAGAGGTCACAGGGCCCAGTGATGTGTGGTAGTGCTGGAGTGCAGAGGGAAAGACGGGTCAGTCCTCTGGCTCCTGGGGGGGGGGGTTGGGTTAGGGAGTCACTAACTCATTCATTTGCTCATCTTAAAAAGCATCTATTGTCCCCAACCCCATGTGAACCCAGCACCCAACACACAGTTAAGGAAGAAAACCAGGTGTGGGCAAAGCAGGGCAGCCTCAGGGTGACCTGGAAGGATGGAGAGAGAGGACAGGGGATGAGGATCATAGGCAGGAGCCTCCTGGCACCAGACATCCAGCTATGAATCTTCCACCAAGAGGAAACCTCAGGTAGGTCTAAGCACTCTGTGCATGTCTCATCAGATAAATAGGAGTCCAACTCCACCTGCCTCCTAGGGCTGAGGTGCCTGGTCCAGAACCAGGGGGAGGCAAGGGGTTGTCCACCCTCATACTCCTTACTGGTTCCAGGGGCCATTCAGCCTTCTCCTTCCCTGTGTTTAGCAAGGAGACCACCAGGAGCCATGGCCTGGACACAAGGAGCTCTGCCAAGGAGTATGGTCCCTGAGGGTTCTATCATCCTTGGCACTAGGCTTCCCCAAGTCCAGGAACAGCCTTGCCTCAGTCTGACACTGCCCAACAGGAAGGGTCAGGAGTGTCCAGCCTCAGCCAGGAACTGGCTGAGGAGGTACCCTTGCCTCCCCCTCTGCTTCCAGCACCTTGTACCCTGCTCTAAGGAGTCTGAGCCCCTTCAGAGCCTTCATGGAAGAAGGAGAAGCTTTTGTGACTGTAGCAGCCCAGTCTCTGGCCCAGCCTGAAGGCCTCTTAGTAGGACAGGCTGCTGTTCAGGACAGGGCAGGGGAGACACACAGCACCGTTTCCCAGTCTCTCTTCCAGGCTACTGCATTAAAATCTTGGATGAGTCATCTTGAAGTCAATAGGCTTCTTTGACCCAGGGGCTTGTCAAGAATCTGGGCATCTTGTTTGGAAATGCCATTTTAGGGCAGGCTATCCACCTACAGGTCACCCCACAACTCCTCTGGAGTACACTGGTGCTAATGCATGTACTGACTGTCTCAGCAGTAAGGGGAGTCTGGGAATGTGCTGAGCATAGGACAAAGGCTTATGGATCTACTCAACGGCCCCTTCCAGTGGGCCTGGGCAGTGCCTCCCCTCCTCATTCTGCCCCTGCCAGGGTGGCATGTCCTAGGTGCTAGGGAGGGTGCTGTGGTCCTTACCTTGATGTTGTCCTGCCAGTGGTGGGCTTTCTGGAAGGTCTCTGCAGCATCAGCCAATCTCTGAGGGACAGAGCACATGGAGGTCAGAGGCCAAGGTGGGGGCTGTTTGTCCTGTGGCCACCCCCAAAGCCTTCTCCATTCTTACCACCCCCTGGGGTCAGGCTGGCTCAAGGCCTCCCTTCTCCTTGCCCCACCAGACCCCAGAAACTCCTCAGCCCTGACAGTATCCAGCTTACTGTGAGAGCACACCCTGACCACAGCTGGCTTCTCATAGGATGGGTGGGCTGCACAGGACAGCCTGAGGGGCTTCCTCCTGGGCTTCAGCTCAGGAGTGTCTCCTGCCCAGAGGACGGCAGTCAGGCCTGGGCAAATCCCACTGCCACTCTCTATCCCCTACAATCTAGTGTCCCTTCCCCAGTCAATGTGAGATCTCACAGGTTATATAGTAACTTGCTGATGTTCCTTTCCAGCAGGGGGTACCCAGAGCCCACCTCTGCCCACCCAGGCCCAGTATCCCTTTCTAGGGTTCCTGAGTTACTCCCAGAGGGCTCCCAAGCTCTCTGTCCACCCAAGCCTGGCCTATCCTTTGGTGCTCATTTCAGTGCCCTCTGGCAATGAAGCCCATGCCTGTGAGCAGAGTGCCTCTGAGAACACAGCTATATGCCTGACCCTGCGACACCTGTCACTGAGTATGCTTGCTGTTAGACTATGCTGATGTGTGAAGATATGGCCGACTTGGCCCTGCCTCTCACATACGATCAGGAGGGGGAAAGTGACACATAATTGGAGTAGCAGTGACCAATGTGTGAAAGGCTCTGTGCTGTGGGAACAGGACACATCATGAAGGCTTGTGGAGGAGGTGCCCAGGCCCAGCCACCCTCTAGACATAAATCTGGCACACCCATGGATCCTGTATCTCAGGATGTCTTGGGGCTCCAGAAGAGGGAACTGAGTCTGTGCCTCTGCAGAGCTCAGTGCAGTGATATCCTGTCAATCCTAATGACAACCAGTACCGCTGGCCATCTTCTGCCACTGCATGCCAAGCTTCCTCCAGCCAGACACATGGGCACCACTTATTGTTCACACGTGCCTGACATGGTGTCATTATGGCCCTTCCTCAGATTAGCCTACCCAGTCACAGAACATCCAGTGGCCTTCCCAGGACTCTGTCATACACAGTCTGGCCAGGCTGGGCCCATGGGCCTGGCCCTCACCACTGCCTTTGCCTTGATCAGCCATGACCAAGATCCATGAGGTTCAGGGAGGGAGGCAGCTCTGGTCCCTCAGGCCTGCCCCATCCATTCCATGGATGCAATATGGTCCTGCCTACAGGCCTCCAGCCCTACTCAGAAGGCTCTGTTCCCTTGGTATTCAGGCCACCATGTCCCCATCCATCAGTCCAGGCCTGATGTGCCCTGTGGACCTGAGTAGAGGGTGTTTTTTTTTGGTACTGGGGATCGAACTCGGGTCCTTGTGCTTGCGCAGCAGGCAGCAAAATCACTGAGCTAAATCCTCGGCCCATAGAGGGTGTTTTAAAGCATGATGGCTACCCACCAGGGGAACGTGGGAGCTGGGACATGGGAGACCAGCCTTTCCTCCTGGTGAGGGCATGGAGGGACCCTGTGTGGAGCTGTGGCCATCACTCTCCTGGGTAAGAGGTCAGCCCTGGGAGTTAGAGGGGCTGTCAGAGCCATCCCTGCTTCTGCTGGGCCTGGTTCCCGCTCTTCTTCAGGTCAAGAGCTCTAATGCTGGGAAAGCTGTGGCTGGGGACTCGGGGAGAGAGTGAGAAAGTGACTCTTGGAGTCAAAGCTCCTCACTTCACAATGCTGGCCTCCCCTGGCCTTTGCTGCCTTCTCCTGTAGAGGCTCTGCTTGCTGCCCACCCTTTATGCAGGGCCTGCTTGGGTGGGACTCACACTGCCCCTTAACCCACTCTTGTACTCCAGGGGCTTCAGGGACCCTCTGCTCCATGTGGTCCCCGTGAAGTCTTGTCCCTAGTCCTGGCCCCTGCTGAGGTCCCTAGGATGGGGCTCAGTGCAACTGAGTTGCACCACCCCCTCTTGCAATGGGCCCAACCACCCTGGCACCTCCGCTTCACTTCCCACCCCTGACATCACTAAACCACTTACTCTTCACCCCTAGGCTCTGTTCTGTCTCAGGAACCCACATTCTCTCTTGTCCTCCTGCACTTATTCTCCATGCAACACTTGAGCCTCATCTCAGAGAAGAGATCTGATCATCTAGCTGTCCTCTGCCCCTAAGCCCTTCAGCAGCTTCTACTGCTTTACACATAAAAGGCAACATTTTCTTGAGGCCCTAAAGGGCCCACCTGTGCCTGACTCCTGACCTTCTTTTTCCACATCCCGAGGCTTCCTCTTTGCCTAAACTATAAATATTTCCCTGGGCCCTAACCTCTAGGGTTGGGTGTAGTCCTCAAGTCATGAGCTGCAGTGTCCTTCTGTGGAGGGTGTAATAACGCACGATGGCTGCCCACTAGGGGAGAGTGGAAGCCAGGACATGGAGACCAGCCTGTGAGACACATTTACCAATACTTGTTACTGATGCCAATTGAACAGCTAGTATGCACCAGATGTCAAGACAGCACTTGCCTGGAAGATATTTAAAGCCCAGGGAGGCAGCCCCAAGGGTACATCTCGAGGTGTGACCTTTGGGCAATCACTATGTTCCTCCTTTCCTTACTGAGAGGCCTACTACTTTCCCAGGGATCCTACAGCTACCTCAGAGTGAGCCTGAGGCCCATAATTGGCTCTGAAAGGTGATTATGTGAAGCTGGGACAGAGCATGGGAACCAGATCAGGCCTCTTGCCACAGAAAAGCCACAGGGTAGATGAGTCTGCAGAGTCAAACTAATGTGAAGTCTCTAGACTGGGCTGTGGCCCTGAGGGATTATTCCCTCTACCTCTCCATCCACTCCTGGCCAGGGGAGTGCCTTTTTCAGGACTTAGCTCTGAACCTGGGACTCACAGGCCCAAGAATATGGGGCTACAGGCCCCTCTGGTGCCGTGACTTAGCAGACAAGGTGAGGGAGCCCCAGAGAAGAAAGGCCCAACCCCCAGCTTCTTTGAGCTTTTGGAGTCCCATGGGCTCAAAGGCCTGGGTCAGCCCGCTGACTCGTGAATAACGGAGTTGCAATAGCCACAGCGAAAGGATTACTTTTAATCCTCAGTAACGATCAAGTCATTATTATTTTTTTGGTGTTACAGATCAATCAGTCCATCCCTGGGCACTGGACGTGTGCAGACTGCTAACAGGCAGGTCTAGTGCTGCATGAGGAAGGGCCAGGCAGCTGCATGGGGTAGAGTGAGTAGGCCAAGGTGGCATGAAGTCCCACTAGGCCTGAAGGTGAGAGGCCTAGGACTGCCCACTAGGAGCTCAGAGAGGGGACCACAGCCTGGGGCCTGGCCTGGGTTTAAAGCCTCTTCCTCAAGCAGTACCTTCACCTCTGTGGCCCTCAGGATCCTGCTGTGAACTGGAGAGAGCAACTGCACCCACTCAGAGGGTGGACAGGTTCTTGCCAATCCCTCTTGCCAAACCCAGCAGCTGTTCTTAGGGTCCTGACAACTAGGATTTCTCTTATGGGCTCTTACCGAACTCTGGGCCTTTCTTTTATATCCATTTTTTTCTGCTGGTCAGCCCTATTGAACTGTATCACCTTCTCTGGAAGCTTCCTTTTGCCCTTGTTCAGTCCCTGGGCATCCCCTCTTCTCAGCCAATGACCTTCAAGGTTTGATGCACCTGCCTGGCCCAAGTGAGACACTCAGAGTCTTGGGGTCCTCCCCTCATAGAGTCCACAGTGGTCAGGTCTGTTCAGGGATGGCCAGGAGGCCATGCTTACACTGCCCTAGTTCATCTTCCTAGCACTTCCCTCCTACTTCCCCTGTGCCCTCCTGATGGTAGAATGAGAAGGAAGGAGGCTCAGAGGCAAGAAAAGACCTACTAGGGTACCCAGCAAGGTAGGGACTAAGCTGGGGTCCTGGCTCGGTCCTGTCTCCAGGGTACCTACTGTTCCTAGCCCTGACCCTGAGTGCCAGTTCTTCTGGGACTCTGTTTTTGGTACTGGGAATCAAACTCAGGACCTTGCACTTGCGAGGCAGGCGCGGTGCCACTGAGCTAAATCCCTGACCCTTCTGGGACTCTTATACTCTTATAGGAACCTGCTTAGGACCTGGGCTCTGAGAGCAGAGCCACCTGCAGTCCCTGGTCCTCCTGTTCCCAGGACCCTGCACATGCTTCTCTCTCCCTGTTCACTCCTGCCCAGAATCTTCTAGCTTGGCTCACCCCCACCCTGCCAGGCCCCCACTCAGGGAAACCTCTGCCAAGTCTGCCTTCCCCTTGAACTTTGAGCTTGGTGGTGGCATTGTCTGGTGGCTGTCAAGCTTACAATCATCTGGCCCCTGTTATACAGCAGGTGCTCAACAGATGTCTATTCTATCAAGGTCAGGGCCTCTCTGGACCTGTGTAGAGCCTTGGGCTTGAGTCTGGTTCTCTCTGGCCAGGTATGTAACCCTAAGCATGTGGTTAATGTCTTTGAGCCTCTTTTCCTCACCACATCCTGGGGAGTGAGGGATGTCAGGAGGAGGATGCTGCTACAAAGTCACCAAGGGTGCCTCACCTGGCCTGTGCTGATCCCAATATGATTATGGCATTGGAGGGAATCCCGGTAGGATTGCTCAGTAGGGCTGCTCACAGCCAAGTCCATAATGATAACAGCAGGCCTTTCACAGGAAATTATCAGAGAGTTTCACTTAACAATCAATTTCCCTCAGCTCTGGGAACCACTCTTACAAGAAAAGGCAAGAAAGAAGAGGACTAGCAGTGCACTAGGCTGGGGACAATACTCTCCTGGAGAGTGGCCCCTCCACTGGTATCTTTAAATCTCACTAAATTAAGCTGAGGCAGACAATGATGTGAGATAAGGAACCTCAGAGGCCAGAACCTGAAGGGTGAGGGCCCTGCATGCTGGGAGGGGAAAGGCACCTTACTAGAAGAAGAACCCCCTCTCCTAGGGCTGGAGGCTGAAGGCCTAGCGAGCAACTACCT